CAAAGTCGAGTGGCTGCCGCTTCTACGCGGTCCGGCAATGAAACGATTAAGTTCGGATCGTTGACAGCCAACGGTCAAAGGAGAACAAGCGTACGAAGTAGAGAAGCGGAGAAGTGGCGTCGCCTATTGCAACTGCTGCTGTAGAAACGGAGATAAAGCAACATACAATCGGCAGTAAAAAAAACAGCAGAGTAACCCCTGCGACTATCGCAGTCGTTGCCGCTAGGGCCGCTGCGGGTGCTCAGCCACCGCCCACGCCGCCGTGGCCGCACCGGTGCAATCTAAATGCCCGGGGGCGGCGTGAGCTAAAGAAGACGGCGCTTACAACGCTGCGTATGGCCCATACAACGAAGAACGTTAGAAAGAGAGACTGGGAAGAAAGAAATGGGAAATTCGAGACCGAAAAAATCAGTGGCTGAACGAATGAACGACGAGTAATAGACGAATGTGTAACAACAAGGCTAAAAATAATATTGAAGTGAAGCGATAAAAACAAGGACCTTGTGGGCCTGAAAATACTGCTCAGGTTCAGTGATAGCGATAATTGTAACGATAGTATTGATACTGGTAAAGGCAGTGGTCAGGATCACGATAATATCAGTGATAGAGTATTATATGGATTGGTACGCGATGCCACGTTGGCGTCAGTGACCCTGTAGCTGCTGTATAATATGATTATGGATATTCGAGGAGTATTTATAGCAAAATTGATAACTACTAGTTCGACAACACACACGTACGGTCGTCTGAAAGCTCAGAGCTGGCATGCTTCATCGTCGTCGGCTGGCTTTATTCGAAGATCTCCTACTACGCCAGTAAAGCCGCTCCAAATCGGATGCTTGTTCGCTTCGATCACCGTGAACATTATCACCGCACGCGATTGCTTTCGGTGGAGGCTCATAGCGGTCTGCCTGCGACATTATGACGGCACCACTGTTCATGCTGATGTTACTGACGCTAGTACGTATGACGGTGCTGGGCTTTGTACATTCGGAAAGGGCGATCACGCGAGCAAACAAACAAACAAACAAATAGCTGGAGAAGAAGGTAAAACTGAGAGATGGAAACACGTCCAAGGACAACGGGTTATCGTTTCCGCAATAGCAGCACCAGCAGCGGCGGCGACGGCAATTACAGCGGACTTAAAAACAGAGGTCGATCATCGATGACTGAGGCGTTGTCACTGCATAGCCGTTATTTCTGCTGCTGCTGCTGCTGCTGCCGCCGAGATGGCTCAAGGAGAGCCCCCTACTTGCCGACTATCGACGGCTATACTTGGCGGCCCCGCTGGCAATCGCTGTTCGCTAACCTTTCAAAGAGCGCCTTTCATTGTGCGACTTATACAGCAGAATCTGAATGCGTCGCACAGACGGAACAGGAAGAACATATGTAAGCTGATGTAATCTAGTCACAAACGATCCTGGCGGCAATGGCTGCAGCGGTGAAAAAAGCAACGTTTGTGCTTGGTGCTTATGCTGATGGGGCATTGGGTTCGCGGATTCGTACGAGTGTCGATAATGAGCGGCAAGCGCGACTCTCAATACTGTAGTCGGATATGGTCAGTCAAATTAGCCCGGTGATGCTGTCAGCTACCAGCATTATTTTCAACATCGTGCAAGTATGGCAATGACAATCACTAAACAGGTTGAAACCGCCGAAAAAGTGGTGTTGTTACTGTGAAGTAGTACCACAACGTACGATTACGGCTAGACGCATGATGGGTTATCATGTAGTAACATTGATGACGGCTTTAATCAGCCGTATCGCCGTAGTGGAAGAGAACCACTGAGTCAGACTACGGTATTGAGTGCGGTAGAGCTTGAATAGAAATGTGGGACAAAAAAATTCTATTGCAAATAAAAAAGGAAAGAAAAAAAGATTTTTTCCTAGCTAAAAATGAAAGAGGTTACTGGTAGCGAAGCCAATAACTCCAGTGACGATCACTAAGCGCAACCTTGTTTTGCGTTCAAACGAAGTTAATCCCGCTATAGATGGTCTACTGAGTAAATGTTTTTATCAATGAATGCCTCCCGCCTCCGTTTCGTTGATTCGTTTCCACTATAGCCAAGCATTATTATGGTTGTGCTTTCATCGACGGCATATAGCAAGGGTATCGACATCAGCCAATAGACACCAGTGAAAAACAATAACATAGCCAAATGGACAAAAGAAAAACACGCATTTCGATACAATTGCAACACGTCCATACTGCCATTCTAGATACAAACCAAACCCGTTTCGACTTGCGCGGACAAGATCTAATGATGATGAACGCCTACCCAGGGCTGTCCCAACACTTGTGTATGCCTATGTTTGCTCGTAGTGTTTTGCTTCAATCCGCTGGCCATCACACACAACTGCGATACCGCGACACATGACTCGCTCGTACGCCGTTACCACTCGTACCAAGCATGATAAGAACCCCAGAACACACAGCCACTGTTCAACACAGCGAACCATCCCATTGGGTTGGTCAGACTGACCATCTTTCCCTGATCGGCTTGATCTCGACCAGATTGCCCCTGTCATGACTTGTCCGCATGCCAGATCATCGAACGCCTTGCCGATAAAGAAGCGGACGAACATATACACGCACAGAAACAGACAATATAAGGACTATTGTTGTGTCGGCACCCTTGAGTTGGCTAGCATTAATTACTCAACTTAAATGATGCCGTCGAAGGTAATCAACTGCAGTACTCTTACGACTGTATGCTGCTACATATGGTTCTTGTATCCATTTGTCTTTAATCGTCACTGTCTACACAATAGATTATGGCAACACCTTTAAGTTCCTCCTGTACAAAGTCAAACGTTCTCACAGTCCTATAATGGCGCATAGTTATGGATAAGCAACTAAGGAGAGAACCTTGCGCATTAGCAATTCACGTAACAGAATTGAATGTACCAGAGCAAACAGTACACGCGCAAACAGAAGCTAATAAGTATCTTACTGAACGACGGACGACGCGACGAAGGCGTGTCTAGCTAGCTATTAGTGGGCATGTTCTACTTCTTTCATTCCTTTTCGGCACACGATCTGCAAACAACATTAGAACCGTCTCGACTTTTTGAAGCATCGTAGACTGTAACAATGCAGGTCATTCCAGTCTAATGGGTAAAGTTCGCTTTGAACGTATGCAGACAGGCCATTTAGCCCGCATATATATATATATATATATATATATATATATATATATATATATATATATATATAGGTTTTCGTAACAGCTGTAGGAATGGTCATAGACAAGCCTATGCCTCTGTATAATTTTGCTCGTTCACAGTTCGTCCAATTTATCCATATGTCTTTAGCGGAGTCGGTGAGAGCGTTACTGGAGTGGCTACCATCGTTGTTTTGCCGCAGCATCACCTACCGTCCGCTTTGTACTACAACCGACGAGACGAACGCTTCGCACATTTCCCTCCCCCACATCTTTGTTGCCCCATTTCCTCCGGATCCTGCCGCGGCACCCCTCCATATTGCTATCAATTTTCCCTAAACTTTACCCGGAAACTTCCAGCCATTTTCTTCGACACCTTTACTGCTTTATATGTCCTCCATTGGCACTCGCTGAATGGGAAACGCTTCGCGCGACTTCACGATCCAAAGCGTCTATACACACACGACAGCGCCCACTGCTACCCAGCACAGGCCTGCAGTGCTGCCAGTTAACCCTCGTACTGACGAGTGTCACCGTTCTGCCAAGCGGCCACTGAGCAGTTAAACAGCCAACCAGGCCGGTATTCCCGCACGCAGTCGCGTAGGCGCCAGGACTTGGCTCGTTGGCTGGCTGGCCGGACGACGTCGCGTCGACAGGGAACAATGGGGTAGCCTGGATGAACTTGAGTGGCCCGAGTGTCTCCTGTTCTGGACCTGAGCTGGACCTTCTCCTGCGCACAAGACCCACCGAGAACGCTGCGGCAGCTGCTGCAAAACAGCTCTAGCGTAGCATTATATGACGGAGAGGAGCCATCCAGGATCGGTGGCAAGGCAAGCAGTCAGACGAAGCAAAGCGTGAACCGGGCCAGACAGCACATCCTTCTCAAACAACAAAGCAACCGCACGTTCATTCAGTCGTTCCCGTCTTCTTTCCTTTTTTCGGGACGATTTGCCGCCCGTAGTTTTCCTTGACCCCAACTGGCCCCAGAGCCCTTTGCTCCCTACGGTGAAGCTCTTCCGACCGGACTTGAACCGACGGACGGCAGGCGAAGGAACAATATCTGGCTCGCTCCGTTCGCCGCTTTGCCGCTTGATGCCAGTTTCTGCCGCTTCGACTAGACCCATTGCAATATTCCCGCCGATCCCAGCAAGGCAATAACAACAGCTTCCCTACTCTCACGATTACTTTCCAAGTTCCTCAAGAATATCGCGTTCGTTTTTCCTCTCGAGTATTCCATTGCTCGGGAGATCGCACCGGTCATAGTTGCGTTCGGGGTTAATTAATACAATAAATTGCAGTGGGATTTATGCAGGAAACAGACGTGTGTACGCGCCGTTTGCATAAAAGTGACAATGAGAAGAGAAGCATCGTTCAATTAGCTCTCGTTTCATACTCGCTTTTTTCTCTTTGGCACCTTCGCTATACACGAAAAAACGTAAGTTGTATACCTCGCTACGTGCACATCGTCGTACACGCTGCCCAGTTCTATATTTTGCTTACTGTGTCATACTGACTACCGAACCGTTCGTACAGTCTACTAGATAGTAATAATTACGGATGCTGCAAACCCAGAAATACGAAGCGATCATGCCCGTTAACTACACTCGGGATAATACCTGCTAACTATAGATAATACGTCCCAAATGAAAAGATCGTATCTTTATGTTATTCGCACTTACTGAAGTAGGTGCCGGACCTGTCGTTAGACGACGCTTTGACGCCGAACGTAACAGACCATAATGAAAACAAATATGACAAAGCTAATCATAACTATACATATTTGTATGCTTTTTTAGTACATAGAAGAGAATAGACAAGAACTAAAAAGATACTTACCGCCCGCAGAGCGGCCAACCTATCTTTTGTCATGGTTGTACTTCAATTTCTGTTGTTTTTCCGCTTCCAAGTGGTGAAAGTGTACTTGTCAATGCAAATTGCGGCCAACGCCCGACTTTGGTAGTGGTTGTGACGGCCACTACTTTTCGTAGAACCACTTCGAGTATATTCACGGGAACTATAGCGACCGCCACTGATCTACAACAGCGACGGATGTTGTTCCTATTGCTGTTATCGGCCTGGATCGGATTTTGTGGCTTCCGCTACGGCCGTTATCGCTGTGTATCTGCCTGATTGACGTGTCAATAACAACAACGGCGATTATTTCCACAGTGCATTTGATACCTTGAATAGATTTGCGTTTCTATGTATGGACTTTTGTGTCAGATCGCTATATGGCGACTAGTATACCGTTTGCTCCACCAAACTATCCAGCCAGTGTATCCGTATTCTTCTGCTCCCGTGCATACGTCGGAAGAAGAGAGGTTGCGTTCTAAGGCGTAACGCTCATACGTTGGCGCCAGCCGTTAGGGTTCATTTGATATCGATCTGAGTTGCGTCAAATCAAGCCGTACTTGGCGAGACTTGCATCAAGCGCCGCAGTTCGCGCCACAGGACCCGTAGTCGTCGTAGCAGTAACGGTACTCAAACGACGAGCTCCACCGGACCCTTTGTTGCTCAGAGGGGAACACATACACGAACTATACACACCCACAGGGCGAGCTTTCACACGGAGACACGAATTGTTGCGTGATGCACGACAGGGTTTAAAAAAAAAGGTGGCGGACTGTCGCAATACCACCTGGTCGTACACGTTTCTGATGCTGGTCCAGTTGACGACTAGCGAGTACGAGATGGTTCGCTCGACGCAAGGGTGGCCGCGAACAATTCAACAGCGACTTTACGATTCAGGGAGCAGTGGAGGCCGATCAAGAAATAAACGCCCATTAGCTCGCCTTGCATCACCACTAAGTCGGCTTCAGATGACGCTGGTTCTCTTTGGCGCTGAGTTCACCGGCGCTGAGCTCGCCTTCGCTGCCGTTGCTGAGGTTGGCGTTGTGACGGTAGCGACGCTGCTAACTGTTGAATGATGATAATGACGTTAGCAATGAGTGACTAGAGCCGGTAATGGTGATCGTCGCTAATTGTGTACCACTATAGGAGATGTAAAGTATTTTGATAACAATTGGTAGTGATCGGGTTGGTACTCTTCTATTTTGCGCCCTCTTCACCCACTTTCTGAGTGGGTACAATTCGACGTCGCGCACACGCCTTCCTTCCCTTCACTTGATGGGATGTTTATTCACCCACCCACATGGTTACGCAACAACCGCAAGAAGAAAAACACCTTAGCTCAGAAAGGGTCTTGAACTACCTATTGGCTCTGACCTATTTTGCTTTCTGGCAGACTGGAAGCTATAACCAGCGCGAAAGGATTAAGAGAGCGTAATCGCTGACGGGACTGCGACTCACACGGGAGGGCCTCGCAGTAGGACTGCAGCAATGCAGTGCGCTTCGTGCTTATCTTCCCCGACGTCAACTGCGGTACTCGCGTCAATCAACAAACATTAACAGCAATCAACGGGCACACGAAACAGCCAAACGGACCTGCTCCGATAGCTAGAGCCCCTATCGACCGATCAAGGTCCTGGCTGGCGCTGTGATTAGCGAGCGAGCAATTGCCTCTGATTCGCTCGGCTGTTGTTGTTGACGCCGAACTTCCTGCCCTGCAACGGTTTTAACTGGCTCCTCCTTTTGACTTTACTATGAGCGTATATACACTCAGTATTACAGGTGTACGCGCACCTACGCCTCCGCGGGTACTCTGACAGAAACAGCTTCAGATTAGCCCTGGCTTTCAGTTTTTAACAGGTGCTGTCTGTACCTGTTGGTACCCATAAGAACGGGAACAGCGACACAGCGTAATAGGATAACTTAACCGGAAGTGAGTCCCAACCGCCAGCGAATCAACTACTTTGTTAAGAGGCCACCTGATCTTTGTCAATAGTGTCTGTATGGCTTTCAGCGCCTCAAACAACTTCATAAAATAGACTTTACGTTACGCCAGTTACTCTAACTAACCTGAATGAATTGAAAAGCCTGACCACTGCCACCTTTCCCTGGCACACAGATACACCTAATAGGCTTTCGCAATTAGCCAGTAACGACACGGGTTTTACCACCCGCTATTTCTACACACGGAGCGCACACAGCAGCACCTCGTCTGAGAGAACATTTGCCCAAAGTTGCACACACAATCCGTTACTGATGCTTTCGACTAGTATCCTGTTATCCTGCTACCGCAGAGCTGATTTTTTTGCACCACTATTACCATGACGCTACTGATTATCACACACAACCTCATTAATTTTTTACTGCACGCTGGGGCGCTACCCCGTATCGACGGTATGATGGCTGATTATACCCGTATTAGATCAGTCTGCTGGTCAATTGTTAACCAGTTGACTAACGAATCTCTCGCTCTTTCGTTTTCTCAATCTTTCTCTGCCCGTGTCGCCTGAGCGATTTGGTGCTTTTCGAGCCGAGTCTAGCGGCAGGCAAGTAAATGGGGAGGAGAGGAGGGGGGCCGATCAAACAAATACACTTAAACACAATGTGGTCTTCGCCGGTATCTTTCTTGCTATTATTTTTAATGGTGACAATCACTCTCTTACAACTACCCTATAATGGGTCTCATCAGTCTTCGCGCGATGTATTGTACCGTAGATTTCTATTCGCGTTCCACTATTGCTGCTACCGTTACGTGGATAGACTCGGTAAACCCAAACGCAGTGACTGTTCTCCACGCAGTTCTTGTCGTCAATTGCCCCACTACAACCGGCAGCACTATGAGGGGGTACGACGCCTCTAGCGAGCTCCGTTCGGTACCGTCGCCTTTAGCAGTTTCTTCACCTCACCCAAACCATTATCATCACTCGCTTTATTTTCAACAAGACCAGACAATCTATTGACGTAGTGGCTGTTCACGGTTACTGATAACGTTCGTTTCTGTTCGGTACCATTAGGTAACGTTAGCCAGAAGTGCTACTGTTTTTGTTAACGTAACTGTCGCTGTTATTACTTTTGCTGATGCTATTTCGACCGCAGGTAGCACGATCGCTCGCTGTCCACCACTGGAGTACCTCAACTAAGGCCACAAGCTCTGTCGTACTTGGCAATGCTTGTCGGCCAGAATATGCGCTCTACTGCTATCGTCGCTTCTGTCCGGGTGAATGCCACTCGCAAATGTTGTCTGCCGTTTGCCTTCTGTCCGGCAGCGGCTGCGGCTGCTGCTGCCGCCTGTTTAATGCTTGTTGTTGTTGCTACTGCTGCTGCTGCTGCCGTTGTTGTCCGTAAAAGTGGCTGCAGAGATATCTGTCGTGGACCCCGGTCCGTCCAGCTTCGTTCCAGACGATGCGATTAGCGACCAGCCGCAGCAGCAGCAGTAATCGGGCGTGTTAAAAGCAGTCAATTGCGCTAGACTAGTCCAGCGCAGGTCAGGAGCCTGCTTCTGCTATTGCTGGATAGGTGGGTAGGTGGTTTGCTTCTCGGCTGGCAGCAGCAGCTACCTGCAGGCAGCCAGCGCTCGTCCACAGGCCACCAGTTAGGACAGTCACACAGATCACACAGTTCACTCTTGCACTCCGTCACAATTCCACTGCGTGCAGCGCTTGCTAGTCCTTCTACTGCTTCTCCTATTCCTTGCGCTGCGCCTTTTGCTCCTGCTGCTGCTGCTTGAGCTGCTGCTTCTGCCGCTATTCTTTTATTATTTTACAACAAATCTTTCGTTCCATCCGCTGCAGCCGTGTTCCGTACTCTGTCTTGGTGCCGTCGTCGTCTGACGTCCCGCCAGCACACGACCACAGCGCGACTACACTCCACCGTGCGTCCGTCGTCCGAGGATGTTCTTCTCGTTAGCGGCCTCCTATCTCAGGCCGAGCAAGTGGTAGAAGAAAGCAAGGCAAAAGGACTCGGTTGGTTGCAGGAGCTAGTCAGACAGGCCACTGCTGTTGGCTCACTCACTAACGCGCTGCTGGCGGCGCTCGACAGAAGCCTGATAGGAAGGAAGGCAGGCACACTCTGTGTAGCAGCAGCAGCCGCCTTCTACAGCAGCATTAGTAGTAGTAGTAGCAGCAGCGGCAGCGGCAGCAGCAGCAGCAGCAGTAGCGGTGGATGATGGAAGCAGAGCAGGCTATTGATCGGCCGCCGGCCACAACTATCGTCAACGACGAGACTGTGGCGCCCCCTAGTGACGCTTCGCCTACTCCGACGTTGGTCTGTCGTCGGAAAGCAGCAGGCCGATAACCCTACGTCAGGCGCTGGATGTCGACCGGATCTGAGTCTCTCGAAGTGTCGCGACGGTCTCTGAAAGCCCGCCAAGAGGAACAGACCACAGCCACGACTGCCCTGTCGGCGTTGCTTATGTTGGTCTCATTTTCATTCCCACTGTTCGCCTCTATTATAACTGGCACGACCGGCTAGAGAATGGTACAGCAGTAATACGCTAACGATGCCAACATCCTTTTATCACCAGCGATAGGAGCCTCCCAGCGTTCGTCGAGGGATCAAGAAGCGGCTGTTGCGGCCAGACTGAAGTGCTAAGTATCCGAGCGAGCGTCGTGACCAGAGAACAGCGCAACAACAACAATCAGAGACAGAGGTAACAGCAGACAACAATGGCATCGATAATAGCAGAAAATGGGTACAATCAGCTATTAAATTTCTACGATCAGCTGTACTGTACATCTGCCACGTTTGCCGGCTACTATTATTAGCAAATACTGACGATCTCCACCGCTGCTGCACTGATTAATGCTAGCAAGGTTGCTTTTGCAGATTCCTCCCATACTTCTGCCGTAGACAAAAGTGCGCCGACTGCGCCAAATGACGGTTGCTCGTGGTCCGCGTTAGCGGTAGCGACAGGGGTGGGAAAAACGGCGCAGCGGCCGCCGCCACCCCTGCCGCCGTCAGTAGGCGCACCATCACGCCTTCGTGCTAGCTTCCGAACGAGGGAGGTCTGACACACCCTTAGTAAATGCCTGCCTGGTAGACTGAAGATGGCAAGAAAGTGAATCTGAAATTGAGCGCGCACTTCGTTTTGGACTGAATCCAAGTCGGTTCCACTCTTAGACAAACCGATTGTAACTGTCATACGATCGTTATTGTATATAAGTGAGTACATGTTTTCCTCTTATTTAACCCGTACAAATATTGTTTCGCAGACGAGAGAAATGCGGGAAATCTGCGCAGGTCTTCTTACGAGCACCATATCGTCCTTATAACGTTGCCGTAGGAGACGTCCAGGGAAGGAAAAACAATAGAAGAACTGCCAGCGACTTCAAAAGAGCTCGAATGTTTTTTACGGGAAAAAATGCTGCGCGCGCGAACGATCGGCTACCTCTTTTTCAACCGATGCTGCGAAAACTGTTGCAACCTCAAACGTTTGGTGGTTTTAGTTTGCCGACACCTGAGCATGCATATGGCTGATGGGATTTCGAGTGCGTGAAGATCGGTTAAAACAGCGGCGGCAATAGCTAACATAGCACCAATTGCCCAACGTGCGGCTGTCGCCCGGACAAAGTGGCAGGACGAGGAACAGAGTGCGCGCCGGATACGAGAAATCCAGAGCATCAAAGCGCGCGCGCAAGAGAGAGAGAGAGAGAGAGAGAACCAGCAAGAGAGAGCATTCGTCTGTGGTAATGGTGGGGTTAGGGTGGTCATGGCGGTGTTGCCGCGCCCGCCTGCTGCTGTTACCGCAACCGCTGGCCGCTTCCGCCGCTAACTCTACGGGTTTACAGGAGCAGTAGTCGCCCGTCTGTCCGTTCGCCTATCCATCCACTACCCGGCAGACCGCCTAAACGTTGCTGCCGTCTGCTGCTGGTGGCGCTGGCATAGCTCCCGCAGCATGAAGCACGGTTAGGTCGGCAGCAGCAGGCGATAAGCAAACAATTTTCGCTTTTCGAGTGTCATCTATGCTTATTCTCTTTGAGAGAGGGTTGATAAACGCTTCTTCTCCATACACGCATTACGCGAAGGTATGAACGTCGCTTGCAATAACACAAGCACACATTCCTCGCACATAGCTAATGATATCCTCGGGGGTTTGAGTTTCCGCCCGCCTCGGAGGCGGGTTACTTGAAATAGCGTTGCTAACTCTTTATACCGATTCTGCTAAGACTTTTGATACCGGAGTCGATTCTAGCAGGCCTACACAGATGACGTCATACGGTCGCAGTGGCATGACGTCAGCATGGACAAACCGTGGAGAACTGGAGTGAAACAAGGGTACGTTACCTCAAGCGAGCCTCCTGATAAACTACCACTACGGACATTATTATGTGCAGCAAATTATAATGGTAGCACACACAAACCCCACTAGTGGTCAGTTCAGTCACGCCACGGTAGTCAACAACAGTTAAACAACGGTAGTGATAAAAACAATAAAAAAAAAAGCGCAATATTATGAATGATAGGAACGTTACGGTAACCGCTGCCGCGTCTCCATGTAACGTCCTCATCCATAAAGGCGTGACAAACCATTGGTTTCTGTCATTGTCACATTACACACAAACTCAATTAAAAATTAGTAGTAGGCGAATAGCAGCAAAAATACTAAGGACTCGCGAGTACGATTAGTACACACAGCTGATACAGCTAAGACAGTAAGAACTCAGTTATTTTGGAATTGGAAGTGCCGAAGTTCAAACGATCCTGATCTTTTTTTCTTAATGATTTCACTACCTTACATATTTATTTGTGTTATTATTCTCCTCTCTTTTCGTTTTGTTCTTTACAGTGTCTACGTGATTGGGCAATGTAAGACTTGTATCATGCATCTGATTTACTCTGTAACAGAACAATGAAGGGTTACCCTTCAAAGTAACAAGGGTCTTGCCATTAGTTGGTCTCCATATGGTTCTCTCACACGTTTATATAAATAAGTATGGCCGACATTTCGATCTTTTTATGGTGGTAGTGGTTCGGAGATGCGCAAAACTTAGAGATTCTTTTAAAACAGGAACAAACAAAGGAACATATTTTATCTTTCAAAATGATTCGCCCAAACCGAGTAGGGATTTGTCGAATGCATCGAGACAGCATCATACAAAGTTGACACGACGCTGTGAATTTCAACATGTATATAAAAAAAATGTAGCTAAAAATGAGTTCTTATTGTCAGAGAGGTTTCACAAATAATCTATGAATGCACACAAATCTATACGCAAATGGTAAACACAGCTGTAAAAAGACCATATAGTATTTATCTAGAGTTAGAGCTCATTTATCGTTCGAACCGTCTTTTCATTCATTCATTTTCCTTCAACATGTTTCCTCGTACTTTCAGGCGTAGCAAAACTATCGACAGATCCTCCGACCTTCCCGGCTTTCGGATTAAAGGCTGAGGTGGTTGACATTAGTTAATGTCAAGACCATTCAAATTAGTTAGTCGTAGATGAAATTTGGTATCTGCATCATTGCGTAGGTAAGTTTCGCAAAAGCTTACGTTGGATACAAACATGCCATGCTATTCTTCCTTAGCCAGTTGGTCAGATCGTTGCCACTGACAAGTAAACAAAGCTAAATTCTGTTTCATTTCGAACTGTCAAATAAATAAGCGCTACAGTTAGCGCGACAAGATCTGTAATTGAGCACAATACAAACCCACCCCACCGAAAATAGCCAGACTAAGCTTTTCGATTACTTTCACGTTCTTTCTGTACCTTAGTCTAACAATGGGAACGGTAGCGCCGCGTCACTTGCCCGTGTGAAGCTGGCCGCCGCTGTCAGTCTGAACCGCCGTTACCATTGCCGCTAGGAGGCTCACGATACGCACCGCCTCCATTGCGCTAAAGGCGCATGTCTGGGATTAGCGCCATCAGCCGATCGATGTGTCCCTTACCACTGTACGTCTGCTACAATATTCAATACGCTTGCAATGGACATAGGGCCGTGCAAATGACCGTGTGCGACTAAACAAAGAGTTTAGCAATTATTGTCCGGGTCCGTGGTCCGCTCGGTGGTGAATGGCTGTCTGTGTGCAGGTCAATGTATTTGTGTGTGTTTTGCTTGGTCGACTTGATTCCTGCGGCTTCGAGTGCCCTCTCTTCGAATCGCGCTGTCTGTGGCATCTAGTCATCAGAAACACGTTGACTTAGCCAGATAGCTTCGTTCGTGTTCCTAACTTATCGCAGATAGTTAGTGAACGGTGTGGAGTCCATTAGTGTGCTGGCTGGCTGGCTCGTTCCGCGGGCTGTTGATAAAAAGCTGACGTTTTGCTGATGAGAGGTCGTGATACAAGCACGCTGGCGAAGTGTTTTCAAGAATAGTTAGTCGCTGGGTATCTTATCGTTGTTGATGCTGTTTGTGTGTTGTGTCGATGCGCTACTGGATCTTATACTAGTAACTGAGTTTGTTTCGAGTTTTATGTCCTGTATCGCCGTTGAACATTATTACGAATGGCTGATAGTGATTTGAGGCCGGCTATCACTAACCGGCTGTTCAGCGATGGAGTCAGAGAGTGAAAAAAGCTTATAATTAAAGAAGAGTAGATTAGCTAAAGCCGCCAGAAGAACAGCTACTGTCATCTGCTAGAGAAAAAAAAAAGTTAGCGAAAGGATTCCTCTATTTAGTGACGATTGCGACTAGGGCCATAAGGACAGTATAGCGTTTTTGTGTTAGCGGAGGAAATGAGTAATAGTTAATGTTGACAGAATATTGTCATAGTGTGTCCGTCATATGATCGAGGTAGCAAAACAACAACAAGAGTCACAGCGACAACGAGACATAAGATTTCCACGTTCTTTTTGTGCGTGCGTCACATTCTTACGATCTCTCAGCTAATTAATAATAGTAACAGCTGAAAGGATTGCGTCGCTCATTACATTTACGAGTCGTTCGTGAACAAACAGAGAAGGCCAGTGGAGAACCGAGCCTATCGGTACCGGACAACTTGAGCCGATCTCATCGTTGTTCCGGCGGGGTCATACACGTCGGTCGTTGAGACAGTTTGACCGCAGTAGACGTATTTGTAGCCGTGTTTATGTTCTGCTGCATTAGTGTACACGTCGGTTTCTAGCGACTCTACCTCCAGAGCTCAGTTTCCGTGTTCGCAACTATTCTAACGACAACCACTTGCGCTTGTAGAATTTTTACGGTGCTTCTACTAGCATTCTCTACGAATCGTTGTTTCTGACCTGCTTATCTTTAGATCTCGCTGGTCGCAAATTGTGTGTGCTCTCTTGAAGAAGCTCTGGCAGTCGATCGAATGCTTCTCGTCTGAAGCAGCAGACGAATCTTGGAATAGCAGCAATTCAAATGAGGAGTCGAAAACTACATGAAAACATCACGTCTAGTGGATTACGACGAATCGTTTTGACCCTGTTCCCGTTCGTCGCGAAGACAATATCATTGTCACTCTATCTTCGTGAAGACGCATCATCATCGCATATTGCCAGACAAAATGGCCTACCGATTAGTGGATTCCCAGCTGCGTAATGAGCTCACAGGGCTTATTCGTAACTTCCAAGAAATGAGGTAAGCACGAGCTGTGTCGAGTAAATGTAAAAGCGAAGAATATAATGGAATTTAATGGCCAATTAATAACGTAAGTGTTTCAGTAAGTGAAAATTCAAACAAGAAAATTTAATCGCGTATAGCTTCGCTCTCTAATATCGTATTTATATTAATTGCAAAGTTCAAATACAATTATTTTCTAACTAATGAGTGTTACATTTTTTCCGCGTACTATTTCAGCGGACGTTATCAATGGAGTCACCTTAATTATTGCTGACTCAACCGTTGTGCTACTGCGATTTCGATCTTACAAATAACATGATTTTTTTTTTAATGATTGCGCGTCGGGTTGAGAAAACTTGTGGGTCGCTATTTCGGATCCCGCCAACGGTACAGTTTGTGCAAACAAACGAAATGTAAATTGAGTATTTTCGTCCAGTAATAGAATTAACCTGGATATCTAAGGGTTCCGTTTTTTGAACAAATTTCAGGTTTTTGTATAGTTGTGATGTTTGTAGCCGCTAATCTATGTATTATTATAATAGAAATGCTCCTTGTAAGATTGTTATTTTCCCGTAGTGGATAACCCATGGGTGTGCTAAGAATACCTGAAGCTAGCCTTGCGGCTGTCAAACCCTTGTCTATGTGATGTTCGGGACGTCATGTATCTAAATCATTCACCCTAGTCAGCTCATTAGCAATAGCTTGAATGGTTTCGTAATGTCAATGAAGCACACACCCACAGTTTTATGATCCACATGAATGACAATAATATTGGTAATCACTAAAGATCAATGGGGTTCTCAGGGAGGCTTTTTACTGGGAGAGCTGTGTCAGCCCCTATGAATTATTAAATAGCACTCAAGCAAAACGACGAGGAACAGTTAATAACAGGTGTCTACTTCAACACTGTGCTATTCAGTACCTACTATACTATTTAATAATTCGGCAAAATTCTCTCAAGCAATGGCAATGTTTGATGGAGAACTCGATAATTTGTCTTGCTGTAGAGGACTCCGACACAGTGTGAAACGAATCGTATAAAACTCGAAGCATTTATGTTGTAGATAAGTGATTGATACATCCGATCGTCATTTTTTGTGGCGTTTCAAGACGATGGTCCATAATGGTCGGCCCCCTTTAATTTAGCTGACGCGTTGATGCCTTATCTGTGCCTAGTTGATATCCGCAAACCGTACTTTTTTTACGTAGAGTTAATCTGAATTTTTGCGGTGTTTCTCTGAATCTGATATCTCTACTTCCTTTTACGAAGTTGAGAACGATCGTTAATTAGTAAATAAAGGTATTTTGGGTCCGCTTTCTCTTTCAGATCGTTAGGTCTTAGCGGTTTCAAGTACACGAAACACAATTTTCTTTTGCAAAAAATTATCGGGCTTCTAATATAGTTGCTTTCTGTTTTTAACAACAGTACTGTGTTTCGCTACGTTGATTGACACAACGACAGTCTTAGTCCTACATTGAGATTCGTACAACTCGTAATAACTCAGCACCTAGGGACTGCACCCGCTCGCTTTAAGTGAGCTTTATACTTTTTTCGTGATTACGGGTGTGGGATAGAAGTGGGATTAACTGAGTGTAGTATGAGCGCTAGTTGCTGATGGTAACGTACGCTGAACCTACGAAATCTGTGAGATTTTGCAGCCTATTGGGAACACTGGCAGGCGCCGCTACGATAAAATATAGGTACATCGGAGACTGCCGTGGGAATTAAAAATCGCTTGATTATGGTAAAATTTTGTTAGTGGCCGGAGTGTGACTAATCAAACTCGGGAAAATAGGACCGGTATGATTTAGGCTGTCTGATCCGGTGGCCTCATTATGCCTGTGTCTGCTTTAACAAAAATTTGATATGCTTGTGAAAATTCTTGTTAAATTATGTATTGCAAAAAAAGCAAGTCAAGGCGCCTAGATATTCAATGTATCATCTTTCGGAGATTGACGGAATGCTCCAAGCGTATTTGACAACACTTAATATTATATTGGCGTCTAGAGAACATAGCTAAAACATTTACTAAAGACTCTATCTGGGCCACATTGTAGCTCTAACTTAAGCAAATGGTATGGGTTAGCGTGGAATCCACCATTAGTTGTCATCGTTTTGGAACAAGTTCCCAACCCCTTCTTTTACAATAGAAGCACCGCTGAGAAGTCTCATCCGCTATAGCAATTAGTCTCCAAGACAGACAGATTCATGAATATTTAATAGATATATTTAACAGCAAACCGGTCTCTGATTCTTTTCGCTTCACTTTTAGCTGGTCGTTACCATAATACAATGCTAATGAGCATATCGTTTAAATCTACCCAACGCTGAGTTACCTTAGTTTGAAATGTTCCCTGGTAAGTACAACAGTATAGATTGTGTAAAAAGCAATCGATAAACAGTAACTCGAGCCAGTGTTTTGAAGCGGGTCAAAAATAATCAGGAAACAAAGTCCCAAATCAGATTTAGTCTACTACATGGTTGCTGCTGCTGCTGCTGCTGTTGTTAAGTTTTATAAAGTCACCTCTGCGCAATGACTGGTATTCGTTTAAATCGTTAAAAACAGTAAATTTCGAACTGTGAAGGTTTGCTTCTAAGTACATTTATAGAACCAAATGTGTTTTTGAAAGAATAATAACTTATATGTAAAATTAGTGAGTTTCGATGGCCTGTGTGTTTGTTTGTTCTCGTTTTTACTCGTATGTGTACGTTGTTCACACTGCGTTTCAGCAACGACGAGCTCAAGTGTATGATCGAATGTGAGGACGCCACTCTTGATCTACAGTTTTCCGACGGACCGGCTGCTCGAGGTATGGAACGCTCGCGAAACCAGCTTCTCGAAGAGAATCGCCGGATCGCTCGGGAGAATGTCGATAAGGAATCCCAATTCTTCGAATTACGCAATAGATTATTGCAGTTATACCACGAAGGCAAACAACTGAAGTCCGTCGTTGAGCAGCTGCAAGAGAATATCCCAGCATCGAACTGTCACCCACCTACCCTTGACACAATTCAGGCATTGCTGGAAGCAGCGGCAAGGGAAGCCGAGGACGAGTCAGAGGTACGAGAAACACAAAAACTATATATTACGTATATACAAAAGCACGCTGTCGACCTTATGAGGCTTTGAAAATGGTTGTTGCAGTGTAAGGTCTGCCGGCGATCAGCTAGCGACGTCCTTTTTGACAAGGTCCTTACACAATTATCGGTCGAGTGAATGTATACATATAGGTTAGGTACTTCGTGCATTCTGTCTAAATTCTATACGGAAAATTACAAATTATTCCAGACCATGGCAAGTGCCATGCATCGTTAATGGACTGTTTTGAAAGATCTCTGTTTCATATCTCATTATGGATAACCTGGCCAGCTAACAACCTTTTTATGTTTGTTGACGGTATACGAATTTTCAGAAAATTGCAAGTGACTTCCTTTCGTCAACAATAAATACGGAGGATTTTTTGGAAAAGTTCATTGGCAGTCGCAAGGACTTGCACCTTCGACGTGTGCGGGCGGAAAAGGCAGCCGAACTAATGCGTGAACAAAATCGAGTGCCGACAACGAATGTGCTCCCATTCTCACGATTCACATCAGCTGGCGTTGAATATCAACCGCCATCGTTGCCGAACATGGGGCCTGTTATAGGCCCTCCCATAGGGCCAGTATACGGATCGCCAATGCCTTCCTACGGGACTTCGCAGTATCTGCCTTACCCGACGCCTCAGTCAACTGGTGGCCCAATAAGCATGCCGACGCCTGGCTTGTGAGCGACAGCTCCGAGTATAAACTGGACCTAAGAAAAATATCTAATATGGAATACAGATATGAAGAATGGTGAATCTATAAGGCTGGCATACCCAAGCGACAAACTGTTCTGGTGTTCATTATAATTTAGGCAGCTCCCCTCAGCCCATTTCACCCTCGTTGTGTAGTAAAGAAAAGAGCAAGATTTTGTTCGAAAACGTTCCTGTGAATTAGGTCTAAAATGGTTAGATGGTTCTGTGTGCATTATTTTTGCTGCTATTGATGATTGACTGAATGAAGTGTTGTATTGACTTTCTTCGGTTTATATCCTCTCCAAGAGTTGAAGCCTTTCTTACAAAACTATTTTTGCTTGCATTGAAAACCATTAGCTTTGTTCGTATTTGATACGTTATCTCTCGAAATTAGGTAACGTATAGGGAAATGAGGATTGTATGTACGGGATTTGCGTTTCTTCGTGTGAGAGTTCCACCGATCAAAATTCCCATATGAGGTACAGCAAGGCTATTTTTATCGATTGCAGCCTCAATTGGAACTTAAATTGCGTAGAAGATTTACAAGTGTTTGCGTAACTACTAAATGAATAGTGCCGTAGTTTATTTTTAGCTCTATTTCTTGTAGTGTGTTCGGCCCTCGAAGAACAATGTCCGTAAGAGCAGTACGCCAGGAACAAGCCAATTACTGCTCGACAATAACGTAGAGGAAAATCGTGGAAAAGTTTGAGTGAAACGTTTGATAGTAAGCGTTTGAATGCAACACCTTTAGAAATACTGTAATATTAGACAACTGTTCGTAAAGGCGACCTTGATGAGGTTAATGTTTGACGACAGACAAAGAAGTAGAAAAAGCATAGGTAAAGAATACGAAATATTTTCAAATTTACCCGCCAAGGTGAAAAATATTTGGGCTAGATTTGTTACACGTACAGGACTTTACTTTTGCCTTTGCTGATTTGAATAATGACGATATTGCGTGGGGACCATGGGTCGCACGAATGAAGTTTCTTGTATTCTTAACTTGATGTGTTTAGTACTATAGGAAACAAGTGAGGAAAAACTGTGGGAAACGTGTATAATAAAACTAATAAAGATGAGAATGTATTAGTAAGTGAGCCTGATATTTTAGCTTCGCATAGCTACATGTACGCGTTCTACTATTCTATCCTGAAACAGCATTCGGAATTCACTAGAGTAGAATGCTAGATGTAGCGTTCGAGCGCACGTTAACAAGCATAATTGTTTTTTTTTTTCATTTATAAGCCAACTTATAGAAATTACGTAAATAGTTTCAATCAATATTTTCGGTGCACAAAAATGTATAATAAACTCTTCTAAGAAAAGTGCTAGTTCAATATAATTGAACTGCCAGTATTTGAAAAGGACAGTGCATCCAAGAGATTAGCTTCTAATTATTTAGAACAGTAACTGCAGTAAACAGATTTTTTTATCTACATATTTTATTATTACCGACTATACATCTTTGTTTTATCAAATAATCGCTTCGATATGGTACAAATTGAGATCATGCATTTCTTTTATTATTATTATTATTATTATTGGCTAAATCTCCATAAGGTCTACTCTTTAGTTTTTCTTTCTCTTTCTCTATTCTGTTATAGAAAAGAGAATGCTACCGTTATTGTTGTCACACATTTCATCATTTATAGAAGTTGATTTATGACTCTTTTCATGCAACTTGATATCAATGTGGTCAGCCTTTTGAAAATCATCTAAAACTTTCGCTCTAGCTCCCACGTCGTGAACTTTTATATGTACAGTCTCTAAATAAGGTTTATATATATATATATATATATATATAATCAACTAGCCCCTGTTCTCCGTTATCGTAAATTCAACGCCTTTCTCCAGACCCGGTAGGTTAAATCTACAAAGAATAACCGATTACTAACTCGAGTGAATTTGTTAAGGTCTCCAAAATGCCCAGGAAGGCATTAAAAACATTACAGTCTATTTCCATTAGAGAACACCGGACTGCCGGCTTTGTTTGAAACCGAGTCGTAGCAGTCATCAGCCTCTAAGCTACAAAGACGCTGGCTACAGTGGCTGTGACACTGTCCTCGGGGTATTAATAATGCTCTATAATTACCCGTATTATGACAATATTATTTTTACACTATCGCTCCTGTGCTTTCGCTACTTTGAATAACCTCTTTTTTTGACTTAAAAGATTCAACTGACCAGCAGCAGCAGCAGCAGTGCGGGCTTTCGCACCATCACACCAATATCTTTAAGGCAAAAGTTCAGAGCATTAGGACAAATTGATGCAGTTATTGCAGCCATGTCACTTAAGATAAAGCGACGGACTTGAACTGAGATCAGTATTCGTTTCCATTACTCTGAACCAGGAATCAGGAATGTGTAAACTTATTCAGGTCTTCTGAGCATTCTGTTCCAACATGGGTTGGAGAATTCGTCGACGCGCATTAATAAACCAGTTGTTCACCTGGAACAGAACGTACTTCTGATGAATGGAGATCTTTTGCTATATTCCTTGATCCCTTTGTAACGGATTAGTGTATTGTAGGCTTCTATCTATACGATTCTCTTTGCTGATCAGAAATCAAAACCAGACTTTGACAAAAAGCGCAAGGACTCCGTCGCTCTTTGCCAGCAACGCCTATGAACCTAACAAAGTTAATTCTGCCCTGCGAAAGGTTTATTAGTAGTTCGTCTACGCCTAATTATGTACCTGTAATAAAGACAGGTTTGTTTGTTCGGCGATGAGTTTTTTCTCTTCCTCGCTCGGATAAGGGTGAACAACGTGGGCGAAAAGCCACGCCCGCATTAATTCGGTAGCTTGTTTAGGTAGTACGCCTCGAGACGAACCTCCCATTGCGCCGGCAGCCTGCCCAGTTCCACCTGAGGCAAGGCCCGATCGTGGCGAGACCCGAGACCCTTTCTTTGCTGTGGCAGATGGCATAGGTGTTTCAGGTAAACTGCCGCTGCCTTCCTGCGAGTTCTCCCCTAAGCTCAATGCAAAATAGATTCAACTCATTGGTTATAGTTGTATAGTGCACTAAATAGGTTTCTTGTTTCGTTGTTAACTAGCTACGAGGCGTTCGAGTTCAGCGCATAATATTGCCCTTAGGCGCTGCTTCGAACAGCTGGCCTTTTTATGGTGGGCAAACATTTTCCGTCTGTTAAAAAGAATTCTCTTTAATAGTATTACTATTATATATAGTATTATATGGTAGTAATAAGCGGAACACTTGCCTCCACTGCCACTACTCAAAATATCGCACTCGTCAGAATCAACATCTTCCGAATCAAAGTGAGCGTCTTTGAGCAATTTCGATGAGTGCATCTTGTCCCGTAAACAGGCGATGTAACGCTGGCAGAAGTTGTTTCGTAGTTCGTCGACCTTACGAAGCTCTCCTAAATGTATACGCAACACCTAACAAGCACGCAAGTTAAAACGGTAAATGCGCATTTTACAAGCGAACGCTTACTGTTACAAATCGCGTTTGGGACATGACATATTCGCACGATGCACGTTATAAAAAGAAGGCCAGCAGATAAACAGTTAGCTTTAAGATATGTTTTCCTAGACTCAACAATTATTAATTGATTCAATGAACTTCTGATTACCTGTAGAGCATCGATCATCAACTGATCGATAGCGCTTTCGCCTCCACTCCAACACTTTGTATTCTCAGCAAAGGCTTCAAGTTCGCGCTTGAGTTCACTCGCTGAAGGTTCAGCTCCACATGTTCTAGTGGCCAACTCGCATTTTTCAAACAGCAATGCCAAAAGTGGGAAGAGCGGATGCCTGCAAGACAGATGCGGTAAGACATTTTGAAATCTTCGACAAACAAACCGCGTAGTATATGCTATTACGAGTATAAGATAGGACAATATACAATAGGATACTGTTTATCTATTGACAAATTAACGCAAACTTTATTTAAATTCCCTCAACATGATTGAGACACTGTGTCTGGTGGAAAAATTCCGTTATGGAATACTTGTCAATCGCGTAACATAGATTATAGTTTGGAGCTTGAAATTGGGAATTACTTGCTGACCTAAGGAGAGCGCGCTTGACTGTTTCGGTCTCTTCCGGTCCCAATGCATTTTCATCTTCAACGCCCAGCTCCTCTTCAAAACTGTTACATTTGCTACTTTTGTCGTTTTCACCCTTGACGTCACAGTCGGCGTCACTGTTCTGACCACCTGAATCCGGCCTAGAGGCAGTGTCCTCCGGATTGATGTCTTCATTATCCGTAGGAGCCACATGCTCTACGTCGATATCTGCGTCCTCATCTAATTCCAAGTCCTGGTCTGGCTCTGAGGAATCCGACATCCTGTTCGTAGCAGCGCAAAGAAAAGCCATTTTTATTACTTACAACTGTTGATGACAACAAGTGTATCGCAATATTAATATGTTCTCCTTGCACAAAGAAGCATTCGTAAACTCTTTAGAATACATCGGTAGCAAAGATAGAGGTCTTTTGTTTCTACCGGGTTAGAGCTCAATCGTATCGATGGCTGAGGCATACTTTTCCCGCTGGACACTTAGCCGGTGAAGTTACCGCCAATGAAAGGTTACGGATGTGCAGCATTTATACTTTACATAATAGAGAAATATCTATGCGATTTTGAAAAAGATCGCTCCTGCTGATCTGATAGGACAATGTCAAAAACAAGTTAAGGGTGACACACTCTATCAACTTACGTTCACGATAGGAAAAAGTAAAGCAATTCTATTCGATTCATAATGCAGTAGCCCCATCTTCTTTTCCAGCAAATACATCGAAAGTCTGTACAACGTATTTTATGCTCTTCGATCGAGCAAGGCCGCATATGAGTATAGAAACTTCATTAATAACGGCAACAACAATTCAAGCGAAGCCACCTAATCGTTAACAACTAACGCATAATCGTGTCTAGCGGAAAATATATAGGAAAATCGAACACTGTTCTATTTCAACTCCACGCTATGCTGAGGTTTGTGAGTGGCACTTCAGCACATAGAGTAAACTTCAGGCCACTATCGCTGTGGCTACTTCTCTGTTCGAAGTGCGATCGACGTAGTGGATGAGCAGCGCGAAATCACACCAAAACGATAGTGATTAGTTGTATTGTACCTATTATTCATACAGCTATACAACAGATACACGTTATAGATGACGTTCGAGCTCAGACGGCGCTGTCCGTTTATACTCGACTTCGTTGAATTCACCTTGATCGCCGATGGCAACAAAATGCTGTTGGTACTCTTGTTGGTGAAGGGATGAGGCTCCGAGAAAACGTACACACAAGTATCGCGCTCTTGTCGAGTACTAGAAACTGCCACATGCAAAAGCAATTGTGGTAGTAACACACAGTAATAGACAAGCAAAACACTGGCTATGAATCGGTGTTCTTTGAGGCTTCATGCGAGCTCCGCGCGACAACTAAAAGCACTTCAACTACTTCTAGAGTACTGTAGCATTGGGCAGCGGCATAAGCAATCTGTCGTCCTTTCAAAAAAATTTACCTTCTCGCACTGTTTCTTTTACCTGGAGAGAAGGCCACGGTCAGTGCGACTGCATTGATTACGGCAGCGATTGGAAGGCGGCAGAAAACCGGGGCCACTGGCGCTACGAGAAATCGTCGTTGTCACTAATGTAGCCTGCGTTCGCTGAAGCTGTTAGATACCAAAGTGACAACGAATCGCCCTGGGTAACACGACGGAGCACGACGCCCTCCTTTCTGCGGCCTATGTGGGCACAGGCTCCGATCGGTACTGGCCGCCAAGGGAGACAGCCGGCCATCAGACGAGACATTCAATCAATCAAGCTTCTCGGAGAGTGGGAGAGGCGGGCTCGCAGCCGGCAACAGAAGCTTGAAGAAAGCACGAGTGAAGCCTACATAGAAACTTCATTTTCGGGAGTAGTGGAGACTGGCCACTATGATATATAATATTATACGTAAGACTACAATAAATTATATCTAACGAAATGCGTTCATGCGAACTAATTGGCGTTCTACTACAGAATGAAACAAGATAACGAATGATTAGGGATGTCCTGTTAGGAAAGGCTGGGACAGTGGAACTGTAGCGTAATCTAAATTTCGAAACACCATGGGAGTATCAAACGTCAGGGACGGTACAAAGTACAATATATTAAAATGTATGTTTTCTCTATTCTGAAATCAGACAGGCCTATCAAAAGAATATCACTCTCATTTGTTTATGTATATAAGTAGCAAGCTAAGTCTAGCCTGCATATGATGGGCGCGTAGACCATACCCAATAGGACACTGCCTCCGCATCACGACTTATACTTCGTTGTTGACGATGTATGCTCTCGAAGTATCTTTTTCGCTAGGACCATTCCCGATACCTGAAGTAGACATTTAAACTAGTAAAGATTGACTATCTAAGTCACCTAGAATGATTAGTCTTAGGAGCGCCTATAATTTATGATCACTTTTCTCAACAAACCTTCATCAATATGTTTATGAGTCACGAAATTCGATCCGGCAAAAATTATTATCGGAATATCGCAAAAATCACAAAAGCCCTTGATAAGATTATCATTTTTTTAGCGGATCTACTCGATTTTATTGCACATATGATTCAAGTCAATAGACTGCGTTAAACTTATGAGGTTAATTCACCTGTTAGAAAATTACACTGTACAAAAGCATTGTCTGACGTAAACCTTATACGGATGACGAACGAACGGCAAAATATTGTCTTCTCAGCTAGGATGATATATCCAAAGAAATATATCTCGAACTTTGTTTTCTGTTTGTCGACAAAAATACAAATACTATCTAGAATTTGCTATATATTTTTGCAGTAATTATTTTAGGAAATTTTATCACACATTTTCCTCTCACATGACCATACTTTGGTCAAGATTTCGGCTTCCGTGTATATTTGATCTTTGCGTCCTGACGTAAGCACCACTTGGAAGGCTTTAGTCCTTGGTGAACGTGGCTTGAAACTTCAATGTGACTAAATTAACGCAGTACGAGTACAGTTTCTCTTATCAGACTCTACGGTATCTGAGGTAATGTTTAGAAGCTCAAATGCTAGGGTTAAAATACTTCTATCAGAGCCTATACAACATATGCTATATGCATATTAGTAACTTCGACGGCAGCCAATGGGCGTGTAGCCATTGATATAGAATATTGAACATCTGCAATATAATCATTGGTCCTGTTGTTCTGCGTGTTTTTTTTATAGAATTCGCCAATGATTTATTGGGAAAGCAGGACTGAATTTTTCAAAGCCAGTATCAATCCAATGCCATAGGGAAGCTTCGGAAACGAAGCGGATAAACTCGAACGAACGCTTAAGAACGAGTCTCGAAATTGATTAATTATTTATAGCGAACGTATACTGATCTTTTATTATATTTACCCATCGAAGTGTGTTGATTAAATAAAATGGGCAACCATCGTAGAATTATACAAGAGACATTTTCTTCAGTGTCACCATCTACTCATGTTTCTTGTGTTCCATTTTGTTTGTATCACACAAATTATGAGTTATCATATGGAGTACGATACAGAAATTTAGTTTGAAAAGTGACGGTCGTGCAACAAATTGATCAAATGAGCCCTTTGTTCCAAACAGGTTTTGATTTACCTTAATGAGATATCAAACGGCTACCTTTTGCCGATCAAGTCGGACATTTGAGTACCAGAAGTTTATCTGTTTTGTCTATGGTCTATTCCTCTTTAGACGGTTTGTTTGGGGACATGCTGAGTCGCAAAATACTTGATGCTATAAAGGTACTTGCTATGTGACCGTTTGAACCAAGGGACTCGAATCGTTCGTTGAAGTTGATTCGGTTGACTCACTAATAGTACGATAAATATTCCATTATTGTGGGGGGCAAGCGCTTCAGGATGAATTGTCAGCCACTAACCCCTCCTGGCTACAGCTGAAGGATGACGTCGTAGTCGGACAAACTATTTATGAGCACAAAATACGTCTTCTACCTCACTATCTCAGTGCAATAATACAAACGCAGAAGCCTCTCGGTTTCAACTCATTTCACCGCTTGTTATAACTCTCTTGTTTTAAAGTTGTCTCCGAAAAAAAAAACAACATTAGGCCTGTTAATCCTTTTATAAAACAATACCTGACTTTATTATTCGTTTTATGAAAAGAAGGAGACTTTACAGAGGCTCTATCTTCACGACCGTGACTCTATAAGGAAAGGGCTGCTCGTTATTCTTTCTAATAAAGAACTGGTTTTCGTGACCTGACTTGCTTAGTTAATTAACGATCTCGAACACTGCTGATTATAAAGTTCTTACGCTGCTGGGAAACGTTTCACCGACATTATATCAATGGGACCGTATCAATAAAGAAATGGTTTTTACTTCTCTTCCTATAATGAAAAGGATCCGACGAGTCCGATGACTGGCAACAGATTATCCATTACCACCGTTTATTTACTTTATTATCATCACAATAATATCAACTATAATTAAAATAATTAATAGGTTTTTGTGTTTATTAATATCTACAGAATTTTGCACCAGTTTTGGTTTGGTGCTTTTACCTCGTTAAGGCTTCTCACTCCCGTACTTGGCTTTCAGTTGGTGTTTTGTTAATTGGTACTCCGGCTGCTGCGAACTTTAACTTACATCATAACCTTTTTGGACAATGCTCATGTTACTGATTGTTAAACACCACCAAAGGTAAGTCCCCAAATTACGCGCCTAATTTGGATTCTCAAACAACTTCAGGTATCGATATCGGTAAAGACATTATATGTGCATAGAAGTACTCACTACAGCTGCTGCTCGTTTTACTACAGGTCCATTCCGTTATACGAGACACAACGATATTTTTATATTCATAAGCTTGACGCTCTTTAAGCTTGAATAAGATATAGGAGGGATACTTCCACTTCTACCCTATCTGATTCTATTAACGAAAGCTTCGCAAAACGAGTTGGCATATAATACAGATAGCGCTATTTTGGAATTTAAACATCTTAGTAATTTGGCGGCGTTTTTGTGACACGAAATATAGACTGCGAAGACACGTTAGTTTTTCATTACAGACGATGCAGTAATTCACTAATTGCTTTCTCTCTCTCTCTCTCTCTCTCCCTTCCTCTACATATATATATATAATCTATTGTACTCATCTATAAGGAATATGCGTAGACACAGAATTGTTAGACTTAATTTACTTCTCATCTATATTTGATTGATTTGAAAACAGGTGAAAAAATGACGTCCTAAGAAGACGATCCCAGATCTTAGAAGCGATGGGCCTTAACAAGAATATGGTCGTCCTTAACCTGTGACGAGCCAACCCCTTTTATGCCACTATCGAGCGACACGTTTTGCCATTCGGCAGGCATTCCACCCGCAGTATCCGTGGACTTCAAAGCGAAGGACCAATTGTCCGGGTTGAGCCCGGCGCAATGGGGTAGCCGAAGCTCGATGGGTTTCAGGAACTCAAGGCCATGTGGGCCGCACATAACCAACGGACTCAGCAGGGTCTCTCCTGTGAAAAAAAAAGTTTTATTTTGCAGAACAAACAACAGAATGTTGAAGTGGACTAAGCGCGCAGTAGTGATTGGCAAAGCCCTCTACAAACAATTCTAGACTTTGAACATGCTTCAGCTTTTCACATCGCTAAAACGTGTCAGGGCCAATATCTCGTGCGTGGTTTATTGGTAATTTCAGTCGCTTGCTCCACTACCGCAGATTTCTACGAAGCTGTGCATCTTCAACAGCATACATACGTGTGCTGCACGTAGCAAAATTGCAGGTGAGAGGATGTACAAAGATCAAAAACCAGCTGATACAAACCTTTATAGCGGTCGAGTGGTGGTTGCATAGCTTCGTCCTGACAGATCTGAAAATAGACTTCTTGTTGGACGCCTTCAGGGATGGCACCCTCCGGTATCACTAGTGAGACCCCGGTCCGTTCTGAATACAGTCGGCCACCTGCAGATCCGAACACGCCCGAGACGTACGCGACAACAGTGCCAGCACCTGGAGGCGTCGGATCATCGCGCCGTTCACGAGGCCTATCTCCCAGACTGCTTAGACGGCCGCATAGAAATCGGCGCACGTCGGCGCCAAGCAAAAATCACAGAGATTCGCCGAAATCAGGCCGGGTTCGTTGTGCACATGACGCCAGGAGGACATATTGCGCCCGGCAGTACACGCAGAGGTTGGAACAATACCGGCAACGATAATGCCGACAAAGCAGGCGAGAAAACGATAACATCAACAACAATAAACACCACGACATGCGGTTAGCATCTCACGCAAATCAAGATGCACTATTATTTATTACTGTTCCCTTCCCATCGACCCAGCCACACCGTCATACCCGAGTTAACACCAAATAATACCTACATTTTAAAGTTAGATGAAATATACTGTTGTTGATCGACAAATTATTTAGCAAAGGCTTTTCTTACATATCGGGGGGGGGGGGGGGGGTAGGCAGAGGATATGGTCCATAAAAGGAGCGACAGGTTGTCAGCACGTTAAAAAAAGGAATTTTCGACGCAAATATCATATCCACTTCTTGGCAGGACGATGACAAAAAGGCCTGTTTTATCACTGTAGTGACAATCTGATATGCGGTAAATGTAATCTGTTGGCAAAAGATAATGGATTACCTTCAGCGGGGAGTAGAATTTCTAATGCGTTCGGTTCGGGAAGCTCTGTTCGCATAATTGACGAGAGACAAGCTGAACGTATTTTATACGGAAATTTTGCCCTTCGACCTATCGCCGATAGGTTTTCGCTTGCTGTGTTATATTATATACTATTATTACGGTTATGATAATTAGAATAAATTGTTATCTTTTTATAGCAGGCATTAAAACAGCGATAGCATAGAATGGTGTTACGGAGCAACTGTGTTGCGGGGTTAACGTAGAAGTAAAGCTCGCGGCAGTTTTGGTGACAACGTTTCAGTTGTGTGAAGTATAGGTTAGTTAGGACTCCTGCTGCTATTTATCGATGCATTTTGAAAGGCTATGCTCAGAGAAATTGGTTAAAAAATCAAAATATCTTTATTATAATATCTTTGTATGTATATATACTCATATATTCATATGTTTGCTCACCATCTTGAACAATTTTTTTACTACCTGTATTGGATAAACAGTTGTATTGCCGCTTGTGTGTTTCATTATGAAGTTCACTCAATTGTGCTCAGCTGATTCGTTTTTTTTCTTTGTCAAAGTCGATATCGGCAGTGCGATCTAGACGGTGCTTATATGGATATGGATTCAATGGTTTGGCAGCAGCGACAAATCAGCATCATGGCACCTATATCACACATAGCCAAGTGAATAGCATCGCTTGGCGACCATCTTCATAGACGACGATTGAATGGATAGGGCTGAATGAAGAGCATGTGAAGATTGCCCCCTTGATTAAAATGCAGAACCTCTCGACGAACTTCTCCTGCCATTCGCTTAAAGTTGTAGGGGAAGCCACAGTAGCTACTGGATGAATGTTATAGAAGTAGTTCGCTTCTCATCAACAGCTCGCATCCTTTCCTATTTGAACTTACTTGGCGTATTCATCGTCGACATCATTCAACATGGTACGTTTGTAAGCGGGACTATGGCCTAGCACTGGACCTCCGTGACCTCCAGAATGATCAGGCTTCTTATAGAGTTCAAAAGCGCTGGCCCTGTTCCCTTCGTAATTAGCGCCACCTGCTGCTGGATTTACTCCTCGTTGATTTAGTGTACCGGCCCCCCTACGTGTTTGCATATGTACAGAATAGTAATTTAAGCAAGAATCAATAGAAAATACATTAAACATATCTACACCGAACACCAAACTACCAGAAAATAATCACAAACGACATTTCAACTTGTTCCCTTAAATTATACAAAACAGCAAGAGTGGAAATACCAGCTTCAAGCTGTTTACATGCACCTAAAATAGATACCATTCATGCGACGAATCCTGTCAACATATTTTCTGCCCCTTATCCTGCCCCCCATGTTACTCATTAGGAGGTAATCTTTCGTGTGCATGAAGTTAAGGGAATAGGGCATTTAGCAGAAAGCAAAATGGGGCTCAGTTGAAGTCAATCTAATTTCATTCACGGACTGTTATTCTCCGGTACCTACCGATATGGACTTGGTGGATATGGCACGTTCAGATAGAGGCCGCTGTTCATTTGATACACAGAGGCGTTGTTTCCATCAGGACCCTGCTGTTGCTGATTGCTATACATCTGATTGTTGTTGTTGTTGTTATTGACCTCGTGAGCCATCTTGCTGTTTAGAGTATTATTTATCCCGTTGTTGTTCATATGATTGCTGCTATTATTTGTGATAAGAATCTGATTCGAGTTCGACGAGTGGGTATGTGTTAGTGGCGGCGGTGGAGGGAATAGATTTGTGCGTTTGCTCCCGGCCCGGCTCACATAATTGTGACTGTCGAGCGCTACTGCAGGGGGTGGAGCACGGCCCCCAGATGCGCCCATACTTCCTGGGCCTCCGGGTGGTTTACCGTAAGTTCCATAGTCCGAACTGTTATTTATATTGTTGTTATCTACAATATGAGGAACAGAATTAATGAATTGCTAAGATTTAGTCTGATACAGAAGATAACAAACAAACCGGCCTTAAGGAATTGTCTTTAGTCCGTAATAAACGTGCATGGTTATCGTAGATTCATAGAAGATTTCGTTAATAGTTGTTGCTATTATTGTATTTGAAAAATCATTGCCAGGATTATAGACTCACTGTTTGAGATGACATTTATTCCCTGGTAAGCCGAGTACGGCGGCGGAGCATTTTTCATTACAAGGTCTCGTTCTCCAGGCGTACGGCGATCCACTGAACCGCTCATGTTGTGTGGTGAATTCATCGTATCATGGATCCGCTGTCCATTTGGGGTACCTCTGGCCCCCGGCGGGCCTACGCCAGGCTTTGACGGTGTGCGAGGCGGTGGAGGAGGGATCGGCTTTTTCAAAGGTGGCGGTAGCGTCATAGGACCACCCATAGGACCCATGGGGTTTCGGCCTACAAGCATAGCCCTTGATCCATATGGACTTTCGTCGAGTAGACGCGCTGATGGTGGCTCATGGTTACTGAGACCCATCGAACCTTGCCTTGAATGCAGTTGCCGTTGTTGAGCAACCTGTTGCGCATTGATGTAGTCTGAATCGGGCAGTGGTTGAGGAGAGTCGGTGGCACTGGGGAAACGGGTTGGATTCTGTGGGGTCATTCGCATCGCGTAACCCGTCGGAGCCTAAGAAATAATAAGAAAACATAGGCATACCATCTAACTACCATCGTATGCTGATTATGAAAATTGTTCATTAATTATTTTGAGCCACCACTGGTGTATTTGTGAACTGGTGATCATTCAATCGTGTGCTTCAATTCGAAGTGCTTATTTTAGACTCGTTGAAAATATAGGCAGATGTCGCAGTTGTCAGAAGTGCGCATTCGAATACTTGCCATTCCATTAAAACGTTGAGGTTTGTTAGTACGATCAACCTTCGGCGGCAGCTGTGACAGGCTAGATCCGGTGGCTCCCGGTGTATCTATATTGGCCTGCGGCGTGTGGCATGTCTGACGTAGTACTGCCTCCTTCGTCGAGTAGATTTCGTGGAGCTTTTGTTCGTGTAACCTTCGTTGTAATTGAGCCATTTCCGATGATGAGCTTGTGTACATAAGTTCCTGCTGCTGCTGCTGCTGCTGTTGTTGTTGATGTTGTTGCTGGTGCTGTTGTTGATGTTGTTGTTGGTGCTGTTGCTGATGTTGCTGTTGCTGTTGGAGGACGTCAATAGGCGTCGACCGATCGGGGCCACCTCGCAAAGCTGCTAGCGATCCGGGAGCAGATGGCGGAACACCAGAGGGTGGTGCTCGCGGTGGCGTTGAATCATACAGCGGGCTTGAATCGTTCAGTTGACTACCTCCATGGCTCTTCTTCGGAATCAGCGAAGAGCTCACGTAGGTGTCATTGTCCGGCAGACTGTCGAAGGACAACAAAAGGTGTAAAGATGCGGCTCATATACCTATGATAGTGATGTCTTCATTATCGCGAAAAATGGTCTTGAATGCAGGCCCATAGATCAGCTCTGTGTTTTGTGCTTAAAAATCAAGATTACCTATTTATTTGTCCTTCTCCCAAACGTCAGTTGTGGAACCCTCAAGTGCTGATGTGTGAATTGTCAAGCAATCATATCTAATGATTATATGAAAGATATATTAGGGTGCTTAACGCATGTTTTTTTTTATCTAAGATTATCTCATCAATGAAGGTACGTTTTAGTCGGTAGAGTATACAATACCTTGGTTGAATACCAGTCGGTGTCGATTGCGAGTTAATTGCTCCCCCCTGCACTGGACTTTGAATAGCAGGATTTGCTGCGAAGGTGTCAGGAGCGCCGGCATTACAAGGTGTGGGTCCCTCACCTGCGGCTCCTTGATCATCTGCGGAGACGATAAGCGACGGGTCACTGGACGACTTCACCAGTCGGCCTGAAGATGCCACCACATCAGGCAAACTGCAGTTAGCATATATATGTATTGTTGTAGTAGTAATGTTACTATAGTTTCGACTCCATTTCCATCTATACTGGACCCGACTACACAACAGGGCAGGCCGAAAAGGTGTCAACCTATCGATATGTTTACGTGCACAACGCACAATATACTTCCATTTATTTAGTACCTGCTATAGCTTTCCCTTCCATACCCGTAGCATTCTCACTGTACAGTCAATCGTATTCATCCTATTCGATATTTACCGATCGCGTACGAGTCTTCATTTTGGTGCTCGTTAGCTAGCTCGATGTCGCTCTCTGGTGAGGACGCGTAACTGAGGCGATTCGGCTGTGATGGGAACAGGAAATCATCCGTGATCAGCGAGTCGGGCTTCGCTTCGGCCGTCCAAATTGCTTGACTCTGTTGCCGTTCGATTGCTTCGGTAAGCGTGCGAAACCATCCGTCACTTCCACCAGCGGTTACGGGAATCGTGATAGAAAAGACGTGTGCGTGCGTTTTCTCCACACGCGCTGCGTGTTCAAGCAGCTTGCGTGAGCTTTTCAGCCCACGTCCAGCAGGCATTAACGGTGCCAACTGGCTGCGGACTTCTTTGACGACATGTTTGCTTTCGACGCGCATGAACACCACAATCGGGTAGAATTGTGCGTAATTCAGTCGCTCAACGGTCGATGGCGTTACGTCGAGAACAGCATGCTGGCCACGTTTACTGATCTCTTTGATCGCGCTAAGGCGGATCACGGCTGGAGAGCCTGAGTCACCGCCTGCGCCAGGGACTGTATCAAATAGAGGAGCGGCAAATGTCTCGGGAAAATCGTGCAGAAGACGTGAGCGAGCGGCATCAGCTATCGCTCCTAGTATAACCACAGGTCGAACGAAGCCTGGGTGACGTAACGTCACGCGTTGGTAGGCAACCAGTCGACATTGCTCCGAGTAAATAGGTTCTGCACCATGGTCCTAAAAGGATTCAGAAACGATAAAATTTTTCTTTATCAAGAAACTACCAGCTCTGCCAATTCCGATTGCTGCCGGAACATGAGTGTCGCTTTGCTAAATTAAATCAAACGTGGTTTCACTCCGAAAGCAGTGAATCTCAATAAAACACATCTCTGAGGAAGTTTAACTTAATGATTGTAAAGACTAAAAAATACTTAATAATAATAAGGAACAACAGCTTTGATATAAGAAAAAAATTACTTTTTTGTTGCTATATATAATGAAGGTGTCATTACAGTCGGTTACGTAGTCTGCACATTGTATCTATTCAGAAACGATGAGTGAATGATGGAATAAAACAAATAGTTTCCTAGCAATAATACTAAATTAGCCATACAAAATAGAAAAAAAATATATATAACGCTTGCATTAATCACATTATGAACAAATATAGGCGTCTATAATTAACAATAAAATACTAGGCCTGTGTAGGACTAGCGGCAGTATAGGCAAACTGTCTAAAAACGGTGCCCATCTCGCCTTCTGATTGGTGACGCAAACGACAGCCGTGCGCGCCAGTGAAAATGTTTACAGAAATTGTGTGTGACAATCATGCGTTATTGTATACGGATTCTCATACGAAAAGTTTATTTCTTCAAATTTCCACTTTCGTCTGATGGCCGTTGAGTCAGATGAGAGGCAAAATTCTGGGACGCGCGACGTCTTGCGAGTCGCTTGTCTAAGCATCTAAGCCATGCATATCTGATTTCGTTGATATTTTAAGTATAATTATTGTTGGATATATCTCCGATCTTTCGTAACTGAACCACAACTCAGTATTTTTATACATAAGACATAGTCCGAACTTGATTACTTGCGAAATTTGTTTATGAGTCTAGCTGGTTAACTTAACGATATGGATATTACACGACACCTTTGGCGAAGTGTGATGTATAGCTCAAGTATGAGGGAAGACTCAAGTTACTGTTGCAGTGTATCTTCCAAATAACGCAAGCGAAATAATGCAAAATGAGGTAACTTCGATGTTAATATATGTCTAAGCGTATAGCGCGTGGCTGTGGGGCACCACTTCTACATGTTGACTACAGAACTGGGTTTGTTCGGTTGAATTTACAAACGATACCCTCCAAACAACGGATGCTTTGATCAAATCAGTAGTGTTTGCACTTAAATATTTAGCTTGGCTTGACTTAGTATCAAGACGTTTCATACGATTATTAACGACTGCCCCATCCAGATTCACGATCGTTGATTTGTTCAGTGCGCGTAGCACTGACCAGCTAAACGCGCTCGTAGTGATGCCGTGTCAGCCGATAAGACAACGACTGCTGCCCGCTGTCCACCGTAACAGCTTTACTTTTTCAGGTACTTCCACATGAACGATCTGTAATACTTTATTTCTCTCAATAAACTGCCGTCTCACCACAGAAATCCGAAGTCTGCGGCCTGCGTCTTCTAAAAGCTGTACCGCATAACTGTGTAATGTTGACGATATACTTCTCCGTAGTCAAGCAAATTTGATTTCTTGGCCCATTAATGTGTGGGCAATCCTGCGTAACATCTGTCCTGACTCTGTCCTAAATCATGTTTAAAGATAAAGATTAACTCTGCCAAATAGGGTGAATAAACACAGATTTCTAAGTATAAAATCGTACTTCGCACCGTCTAATACTCCAATAAATATAGAAAGCTTGTATGTAATTAAGCGCGTCACCTACAAAGCTGCTAGCAGGGAGCTAGCACTAGCCGATCCATTTGTTTTATCATTCTCGTATAGTTGCCGTAAAGACAATACGATGTCAAAGGCATCGGGCCACTGATCCTATGCGTCCACAGGGCAACCTTTCTGTGATCATGGCATAACTAAAAACTTCTATGGGAGCATGCTCGTTTACGTCTTCGGTCTAACGTTTTTCGACAGTCAGCTCGTCACACCCGTCACTGTAGTGCTGGAGTGTGCATCACGTATTCTCTACAACAAGATCGTGAACGTTACTCGACTAAAATCTATATTTATTTTATTATTAACGCAAATTTTCTCTAGCGAAAAAAGCACCACCCTTTTTTCCAGGTAGATCTAACGTTATTGACCACTTGCCCCCTAAGGCACGCTTAACTTTTCAGTGATTCCGCCAATTGGTATCAAAGAACCTATCGGTAAGCATCCACATACTGCCACATTTGCGTCGCTCGTGTCACATAGAACCAGGATACATCGGTGGGCTTGTTGCTATTCACATACACCACGTAAGCTCAATGTGACGAAGTGTTTTACAGTGCCGATAAAACGGTACTTGGTCAGCATATAGGCTGAACGACAATGTAAAAGTTACAACCGGTGATTTCATTTACAATCGTCCCCAATACACAGAAATTATACGAGATTCATTCTAATGTTTCCCTGACTACGTTCGGTAAATAACAATGTTTTCAATCTCGCCGGACAGATAGTTGCTTCATGTTCTAATAGGCCCTTGAAGTCATTCGGGATCGAAGCGTGGTAGAATTTTCAGCAAACATTTTCAGGGTTGTTAACTCGCCTTCTGGCTATGTAGGCAGGGCAAAACATGGCGCAATATAAAATCAATAATAGCGCTCCTAAGAACAGCCTTTTATTTCAACACTTTAAAATCACAAATCGTTGAACCTGCATGTCTACATACAGTGTAGTTAGTATATGCGGCAAGCACCTGCGCCATCACTAAATAGGGATACTAAGATCTATACAAAAACAAGTATTACATATTTTTTTATTATTTCGGTACGACCTTTGCATAATGTAGTAAAACGTTATTATTATTATTATAATTATTTCGCTTCGATCACAACGATTCGAGAACATACGTCGAAAATTATTTTTCTCGAGAAAGATACCTGGACTCAACAGAGCAGTTCAATAGAGATCAGTAACATCATCTGTTGTGATTCAGATACGACGCTAAATCTCGTTTCTATTTTCATGTCTTTTTTAAAGAAGATGTTTAGCGCTTTATTTTTGTTCTAGTTTTACTTATAAAAGCTACGTGTTTAAGCAATCACAGAAATAAACTGTAGAAAAATGTGTGCACCTTTGAGAAGGAAAGAAGAACGAAATAATTTTGTGGTTTGTTTCAATACAAAAGGAGGAGGTCTCAAAGCAGCCGTTGATTATGCTTTGAGCAATATTGGAAAGCAATAAACCAGAGAGTAATTTGGAAAAAAGTGCCCTAAACCCGAAGAAAATCCTCTTAGAGTGTTTAAGTTACGGATGATCGAGTTTCTGTACCAGCTATTTGACAAGGTCAGCATTTAAAGATAAGATACTTCCTCAGCTAGCTAGTTAAAGATCATTCGTTCTAGAAACGACGACCGTCCGATTGAGGACTGCCGTATTCATCAGGCAGCCTACAACCAGGGATAAACGACTCAGTCATACGGTACTTTGGTGCGGGCCTCCTTCCTACGTAAGCCTTTTCCTAGCTTCTCTGGAAGAACACAATATTTTCTATGATCACAAAATTCTTATCATATTACCTTTATAAGTGATTTTGAGCGCCGCTGGCCGCGCCGTTTAAAGAAGCTACTTCGGCTGTCAAGTTCTTTGTCCTTCTTGAGTTGAGCGGATTGTTCTTGAGCGTATTCGTCGGCCCGACTTGCATTGGGGATTACGCCCTTTTGGATCTCCTGCTGGTTTCTGCCTAAGCGATAACCAAGCCATTGTCCGACGGCTCCATTGTGAAGCGTATCAACAACATGAAAGATCTCTCCACTCTTGAACGACAGTGCGTCCTTGACGGCTTGTCCGGGCGTCGGGTCGTGGGCGAAATTTGTCTTAACGTAAAATGAATCGCCATGCAGTTGACCCGCAACTATCTCGTCGTATTCTAAAAAATAATACCAAATTACACGAACGAGCCGAAAGATTAAATTATTATTACACTTATTTATAAATATTATTGAATACTCACACGTCATAAACTTCTGTCTGTCCCATCGAAAACAATTAACTCGTCCCTTAACAAACATTCTCGCATGTATACATCAAGCAATGATTGAGCTTTACCTTGTTTGCAAAGCTGAACTTCGAGCGTAACGCGATCTTGCACGCGCAGAAGGAACATGGCGGCATCTTCCCGAGTTACGCCAGTCATATCCACTTGGTTGACTTTGAGTAGTTTGTCTCCAGGCTGCAAACCCTGCAGCGAAGCAGCGATGCCAGGTTGGACCGCTGAGACAAAAATACCCACCTTGTTTCCACCAGTTAGACGAATCCCAACAGATCCTTCAGGCGGCTTCTCTAATAGGACGGTTCGTACGGGCGCGTCGCAAATGGGCGGCCTAGTCAAGAGATAGAGATAATATAAAAAAAAAAGCAGAAGAAGACTAGTGTCGATGCTGACCTTACTGTATCTCGTTCGCCATGTATTATATAATTTACAAAGCATGAAAGTCGCTGCATATATATACGTATGGTTCGCCACATCTGTCGACGAAACTCTTTAGGCAGAAGGATATACTCTAGTGAAAGGAACACAGAAAGTACGGATGTATCTAGCACCAACCATTCCGTAACTATTGTAATTTTATATTTGATAAGACAAAATTAGTAGAAACTTTACATCTGAGGGGGTGTCCGAGCGGTAAGTTCTTCAATGACATCATTGAGCGGTAGGTTTCTTTTGGGGATTTTCGTAGGTGTACTTGTCCCATTGAATGCATGTGTAAGTGTGTTATTATTGTTGTTATTATTGAGTAGATTGTTATTGAGCGGTGTTCCGGGGGATCCGGGCGGCAATCCGAGCATGCGATTCTCTCTATCCGGCCCACTGAGAGTATTCCGATCGCCATTTCCTTCCAATCGTCCGACAGGAGACCTAAGTTGTGTGAGCTCGTTGGAGCTGTCATTTCCATCTCTCCGTACGACCAAACTAATGCAGTTCTTAACGCTGTCAATAAGTTTGCGAGCTTCCTTAAGTGACAGGTTGTCTGTTAGTTGATCATTAAGCTGTAAAAAAACAGTTATAGGAGATTGAAATAAGGAAAGCAAATACTCAATATAATGGTATTCGTTGGTTTACACAGAACGTTGGTAAACTGTTGCCTTCTTTTGCTGGCTGGCAACATTAATGAAGTAATTGTAATCTAACAGTATTGTGTGAGATATACGCTATTAAATATTTTTAGAAAAGGTTTATTTTATTACTCACTTTGAGCACCACATCTCCGGGCCTTAAAGTGTTATCCTGTTGAGCAATAGAGCGGCCCGCGATTTCTTTGACGTATAACTGGCAACCTAGAACAATGCCAAAGTCTTCCTTCTTTTTAAGTCTTTGCAATTTTACGGATATAATATTAGGGTTGGAATTGGCCGACGAAGACTGCATGGATTGAACGCCGTGCATGTTATTGCCGTGTGCGTGGCCGGTCGTTGAGGCTGGAGGTCCTTGAGGGGGAAGCCGGCGCTTGATGAGCAGTTTCACGACGGTTTCACAATCACGCAGAACCTGTACCGCTCTTGAGTAATCGACACGCTCTAGCGAGATCCCATTGGCGCTGAGTACGATATCACCGATTCTATGCCGACAATCAGGTCAAGTAATGACGAGTAAACACCATTAGCTATTAACACCTGATGGACCTCTTCTACCATTACACCTCCTGTGATCCTACTGCACTTAGTGACGTCAGCTATGTTTTGAAATGTATGCTTTTACCCTGTGCCGCGCTTGTGATGAATAACGTGAATTTAACTTACAAAAGTTTACCCTCCGCTGGTCCATTTTTCAGCACATCGGAGATGACAATATTCCCCTCAGGATTGTCGCTAAGCGAACTATCTCTGCCACCGCTGACGGCAATGCCGAAACCGTAGTTGGGTACCTGAATCACATAATTCATTAACAAAGCTATTGCTGATCGTCTTTGTGTACATGTATGTATATATGCTAAAGCAAAATGAACATGAAATTTTCATCATTTAGAAAGCTCATGGTGCACCCGCGTCTCGAATAAGAAGAGTCCGCTTTAATAGTAGGCCAGCCTCTTGTTTATACTTCACTGGCATGTGTGACACGGATTTACGTGCATCAGTGACGGACGGTATAACTTGCCAAATATTTTGCCGTACTATATTTGTGACTTTGTACATGTGAGCGATGGCAAATATCCAAATAAATTACACCGACTTGTCAACAGTTGCTGCGGTAACGACATCGACAAGTGATCAACCCCGCGATTGCAGTGTCTTCATGACATGCCAGCCGCTGAGGCACAAGACGCTTAAACTGGGAAATACTTGCCTCGCTAATAAAACCGTGTAACGGTACGAACTTGCTACGTTCATTCTCAAAGAAATAATACTTTTTCATTTGCGTATAGGTTATGTGTCGGGACGACAGTCGTCAGAACGATTCCCGAACCAAGATTAGTCAAGAGCTTCGGCAGCACCTATTCAAAACGTGCGACCTCCTCGTTAAATCGCAAGGCCATTCTGGCTTACAGTCATCAATCTCTATACAATCAGAGTCTAGTTTCGCTCGCTAGGAAATTAAACGATTGCCTTCACTGAAGGATTGCGTCCTCCCTTCTCTCCGGGAGATTACTACTGCTGCCGCTTACTGGATTCAAAGAATTGCATCACTGAAGGGTAGCGTTGAGAAGTAATAACATAAGGCTTCACTTTCGTAGCACTTCAATTTGGCATTGGTCAGCAGTGATAGCGATGTAAATGCTAGGGACAAAATCGGCCGTCGAAGTTTCCCGGCTGAGATATATATATATATATGTATACATGTACGCAGGCTAAAAATACAGTACAAATCGTCTTCTGCGCTAAGTTACAAAGCACAATCATCGGTATAGGCGGCTGGAACCTACTATGTGGCTTTACGACATACAACTTCAAACATACTGTAGGAGCTCACAGCACGCATAGACATATACAATGATTTGTAATAAAATGTTCGCGAGTGAATTTAAAGCCAAAATAAACGCTGTAATTAGAGTCGTTGCAGTGGGTAGCTGGATAATATGAAAGCATAGGGTGCAAAAGTAAGATTTTTTATCTTCAATCTTAGTTTACACATTTTTTCCAACTGAGTAAAAACAATTTCCGAGCTGAATATAAAACTATACACTTGCCACATCTTACCCACTCGTATTCCCTATGATTAAATGGGTATGAATAGATATCTTTTACAGGATAGGCAGGTCTATCTGAGATGCCGACTGTAAGATTTCCAATAGCTTTCGCCATCGGGTTCCTCATATCAGAGTCAAACGTTCGATCTACTGAAGTTAACGGCCCTGTGTTGTTTCATGTGTGCGCACACGAATTAGCAGAAGACACACACAAACTTAATTATCAGGTCGCATCACGACGATTCGACCATTGCCAAAAATTTGCCCATTTTGCATCGCCTGATTTATAATGTAAATGAGTTTTCACTGATTCTCCATCGATTGGTCTCGACAGACGAACGTGTGAACACCGAAAACGTCGACTGAGGTTTCTTTTTTCGGCGACGCGGTGAGCATTTTCTTCGGACGTTTCCGACGCCGAACGTGCAATGTGTGCAAGATACCATTTACAAATGAAAGACACACGTAGATAGGGGGTTGGGAAAATGTCGCATGACCCTTTGAAAAAAAAACATCTTTTCACGCTAAAATTATTTTGTTTGCATCGGATACAAATGAGCGAAAGTATACTAAAAGTATGAGGTGTGCAAACCATTCTTAGTGGGCCTGAGAACGCCTGCCAGTGTCCTGCATCTGGTGAACTGTTTGTTCGAACAAATTCGAACAAACAGGAACACAACTTATGTATTTACGCCTATCAACTATCTGATAGTTGACCTATATCTTTGTGTATGTAAACGAGATCGTTTGTGCGATATAATAATTCTGTCAGCCACTAGACACTTGTAAAAAACAAAGACGGAAATGCTTCGCAGTTTCACGGTGAGCCCTTAAATTGGTGACAATTAAAACAACTCAAAGATGACAATGGATTCTAGGTTACACTGCCAATCAAGGTTAGAATAATTGAGCGAGCCTACAACGACGATTGCTCTGATGATCGGCCAACATCGAAGTAGGCCCCAGACTTCTAGATATAATCGCCTAAATGATGCGTATTACCACCTTTTCCGAAATTTTGCCCATAGAGAATCCATTACGCCGATATCGCCTCCTATCCTCACATAAATTAAGTTCAAACTTTGGTCGGAAAAACTTAATTATGATCACACAAAATGAATAAATAATAATACAACAACAAGAAGAGTTTTATCAGAAAAACATAAGAAATAATGTAATTACACATGTGTTATGAAACGTATCTCTGATACGGTTGTATGATATTATCCATTTGACAATATCATTCATCCAGTATCCATTTTGCTAACTCCCTCGTTCTCACCACAGAAAATAGGGCAGAATAAAATAGAAAGTTCCAACGGCTTTTCCTGCATCCGTCTACACGCCGGTATACATATAGTGGGTTTGATTGACTGCTTCATCTTTACTCCCTTATACTCAGACTCATGCGCAGTCTTTGGCTTCGACAACGTTAACCCGTACCGTTTCGAAAGCGCGCGTGTATCACGACACGCGTTGACAAAACATGCTACATTATGCACCATATCGTTCCCGTGTCTGATCATTGCAACCCACAACGAATGGCCTGAAATCATGGCAGCAGTATTATGTGCTTTATTGGCCGCCATTCGAAGGGAGCAGTATCCACCGACAACCAGCAGCACCGACATCTACTCTTGCTGAACCACCAAACAATCTCTTCGGCGACGACGCTACCGGCTGTAGCTTTTACTGCGAACTTGTTCGTCTTTGTCCTCCTTATCTGACGGGCGAATTCTGCACGCTAAGCATCTAACGCGCAACCATTAACATAAGCTTGCCTGTTACAGCCGCTTGCGCAGGTCCGCACACGGACGCAAATTTGCAGGGAATACCATGATAGGCCACGTAGACGCGCACTAAATACGATAGCTGTCGCACGATCCTCTGGATGTTGGCCTCTATCCGTGTTTTTCTGTTCATACATTTGCTGTTCTCCTTCCGCCCGTGGCAGCGGCAGCGACAGAACCGCGGCTATTTGTTTGGCTTTCCACTGCGCGTAACAGCCGCTCCCGATGCTGGAGTCGCAAGAAATGCCCTTGCTTGCACTACAAATCGCACACAATCGACGAAGGTACGCGCGTCATGGTAGTTTCCAGCTGCCGCAACGAGTATCGCGGAAGCATCGCACATTAAGGCAGTCCACTGGCGCTCTAAGCGGCTATGACCGCCGCGCCGCGAGCGTCGACTAGCGGAATTCTTGCTGACAACAATAACGAAAACCCTCTAGTGTATACAGAGTGGATTTAACTAGTGATATCGCTAGTACTGATATGGCCGCAGAAAGATAATGCCAATAAAAGTATTATGGTGTACAATATTTACGTATAAAAAAGGGACGAAAATAGATCGGGAAAACATACAAATGTACCGCTAGACTATGCGTGGACCAATAAAGTAACCTCAAGAAGAAAAAACCATAGGTAATACCACTACTTGACAATAGTCTCAATAGACAGATGGCAGTAAATGAGCTTTGAATGGGTGGACAGCATAAGCAATATGTACACTATGGCCTGAATGTCGTTGAGGCGAAAAGCGCCCAGGACCCTTGTACATGTTCACGAATATTGGTTTCAACTGGATAGGACAGCTGAATGATATTGTCACAATAGGAGGTAGCATTGCAGGTATTTGCCTAAAAAAAGAATCTAATGGAAGTGAACGGAAGCATGAACATGTAAAATGCACAAAAAAAAAGTGAATCTAATCGCGAACGTATAATTCCATCGGTAGTTCAGTAGAATCACCGGTGGAATTATAAGATGCACTAAAATGTCCCAAAGAGCTATCAAGTGACCTAACACGTGTGTTAGGCCTTACGATGTTAAGCCTAAAACAAAACAGATGCAGGGTAATGTGCTGCTTGATCCGACACATGGGCGTTTATGGTGGCGCCAAAAGCGTATAATCAGCTTATGAAAATATTAGGCAAGTCTCGTAGACACATCGCTAGATTGAATATTTAGGATGTGAACACCTTGCCTGCCTCCAGTGGATAAAAGAAGGCTATAGCATGCTTTGAAATCTAACTGAGATGAAGCCCAGGACGGAGGACGTCACGAAAGCTTCGATTTATAATGTGTAACGTTTCATTCTAATAGAATGCGAATAGGGCAACGAACTTCTCCGTGCATCTTCCTGAAGCAGACAACGATTTATTGAAGATTCGTACAATTGTACGATCCAATCTTCCTAACCTGACACGTTTGAAATTCAACATGCTTGCCTATTGAACCATTTCTATAATTCAATTCTATTCAATACGGCCGGATGCGCCATAGCTTTTTTAGCTCATTGAGTTCAGCTGCTATATCCAAGTCGCATACATTTTCTACTAGACATTTCCGATACTCAGATCGACGCAACGCAGGTGGACCTACTAGCGTAATAAAAAATGCTCCACTGAGTATACTACTCGTTTGATTCTGTGGCGTGTTATAAAAACAAAGAAAAAACATGACTGTTAACTAAATGTCACCTCATCACCATCTAGTTTTTGTCTAAAAATCTAATTTTTTTCCTTGAACGCCGACGAATCCGTGTGACGACTAAATTCATCTTGCGGTCTCGATGACTGAGCTACGCAATCGAGCAAATCAGCCTTTTTCGGCGGAAGCTTTCAGTTGGGGGCACAGGAGAATCCACCTATTGTCTTCATTTATTATTGGCGATAGCAGATGAACATTTGACTTTGTTGTGGAAATACGCTTTTACAAATCCCTGTACAAGTGAATTCCTTACCTTGGCTAGAGGAACGTTGAGTAACTCGTAACATGATTGCATGTTGTCCGTGTCTCCCACGGGATCCTGAAACGATTCAAAATAATATCGAATCTTCAATCAACATTTCGGTTACATATTTCACACAAAGTAACCTTTGTTCTACGAAGAAGTTCTTCTCAAATATTCGCCGTTTAAGGACCGTCTAACGTAATTGTCATCGATTCCAGGTTAGGCAAAAACAACAATCGTTCGGTTATATACCTAGTATTATGCATTCTGAACCAAATACGACGCCAATTTCAAGCTCCTGTAGCTTGTTTTTTAATTAAAACCGTTACTGATAACGCATACAGTTAAATCACTTCTGTCGAAGGTCACTATGACCGTTAATAACAACTTGTCGCTATCAATTGTTTATAGAACGGCTTCCAGTATATCATATTATAAATTCTCCCTCTCCCTCTCTGCCTATCAGATAAAATAATCCTTGATACAATGAGTTGGCTGTATCTTTTGAGATAACGGTTTGCTATAGGAGTATTGGTTTGGTGTAGGGCTAAGAAATCGATGTCTCCGAAATGCCGCACTCACGATAAGCTTCTCAAGTTCGCTGCTTAAGCTCGTCTCGCTCATTTTCCCGCAGGCCGACCATCGATCAACGTTAAATCTTCCTATGACCACGCGTCTAATGACGACCCGATAGCAACGTGAGCTTTGGCCGATATAATGGCTTTGGCTAAGAGGATCAACTTCTCCCATTTCCTTCGTTTTCTTTTGCTAGCTCCCGATACCATAAAACAAGCAATTTCAGCGAAGCTTTGGAACCTGATTTATTCTCGCTGTATAATTAGCAAGCCGCCTGTCGATACTGTGCGGTAGTTCGAATTTTTCTAGGGTTTTACTTCAACGATGACTTTCATGGTTAGTGTTGGATATAAACTAGATTTGATTGAAAAAAAATTGTATGAGCCAATAGGCGGGCATTGGCGTAGTAAAACACGAGATAGATCACGGTTAAACGAACAAGGCCATTGATAAGATAGCGTTTGTCCATACTGAATGGAACAAACAGATAAATAATTGATTTACGCCAACGGACGGTAAGTCACTACATCGGCAGCATAGGCAATGCATACTATAGTGAAGATATGAACAGGTGTGTATGGTGATACTTCCGTGGCTAAATATCACCGTTCCGCGCGTTTCCTCTATCTCGCAGGCTAGCGTTGAAGGCTCCACGCTTTCGAGAATGTAATTGACTAGAAAATCAAACGGCAGTTAACTGGCTGCAGAAGTAACGGTCTTCGCCGGTATTTCGTGACAACCCTCACGCGGATCTCATTAATCCTTTTTGACAGATAAAGCGATGGCGCAGAAAGAGGCCGGCGGCTATTTCAGATCGAACGAAGTGTTGTGCTTAACCCTTGGCCTTCACCCAGCAAAATGTAGTTGGTTTAACATGGGACGAACCACGAGGTTGTTTATATTTCGGGGCGTGGTTAAGGCCTATTCGTCATTGGCTGTTTGTCGCTAATCAAGGCGAATGTATAAACGAATTCATACACAGCTAGCGTGTTCAGTGAATATAACGCAAGTAACATCGTTGTCTCTGCCAACGTTACATTGAATCTTAAGGGAAGAAGGAATCGTCACCACAGCCCATCATAGAGGTAACGAAAAGCTGACGCTTCTGACGCAATACTGATGTCTTTATATGTGCTGACAGAAGAAGCCACTAAAAATCTAAATGGAGAGTGCCATTATTGCGCCATTTTCTGCTCCTAACACAATATTCTTACCATGAAAAAGTTTACTGGATGATACTAGATATTGCAGAATACGCTAGATATCACTCGGACTTTCTGTAATGGAACACCTTGGAGGCCCGATGGGTGTAACACCTTCTATGGAAATCCACGTTATCACGTTAGAGAATGACGTGCCTTTTCTTATCTGCCGTCGTTTGGTGCAGCGTTTGGTGTCCGAATTACGCAGATAAAAAACAATTAGTACTCAAAAAACTAGCGGCAGCTAGCTTGGACCTGATCTATATGTTAAAGTGGTTTAATGACTGGAACACTATCTTTCAGATCTATTAATCCTTACCGCCGGCTGCTTCTGGGTGTGAGTATTCACTACAATATTCGCTTACGACGTACCCATACGTAATAATGCTCGTTTTAAGTATACTACTTTTGAATTCCTTTCAACTTAGATTTCACACTGCTGCTACATCTGCATAAGTTATCTACATGCGCCCTATAAGCGTTTACATCTTATCATCGGTCCAGCAGGGTTGCAACGTGGGCATTGTCACCGTTGTCGAACTGACCATCGCGACCCGCTCGTACTGGCCTCCATAGCTGACTCCCGCCTTGACTATACCGTCTGCTACGTCAGTCTGTTAATCGAGTGGTACAGAGCAAAAAAAAAAAAGAGACGCAGAAGAACTTCTGCATGACGGTAAGCCAAATCAATTAGTCGATCAGCCAGTGAGAGGCTTACTTGAGTAATCTTTACCGCTAGTCGTCGCTTTGCCAGTCATTTGGCTGCGATTGATCAAGTCGTCGATGATGGCAATGGCGATTGCGTCTGATTTGAAGAGACACAACCGTTCTGTTGCCAGTAGGACGGCTAAGGAGGCTAGCGCCACTAGCTACTTCACAAAAGCCTCGCACGCTTTCAGTTTTCCCGCGTGCTTTAAGCTGCTTGCCGCCGCCGTCGTCTCCTCTCTGCTATCGGTCGGCTGACTGCTCTGCAACGTATCGCGATTGTCAATCAGGAAACGTCAATGGATCCCAACGTTTTCTATTTATCTTTCCTTGGTCTTGCTGACACTGGTCGTTTCCACCAGTGACTATATTGATGAGATACGGCCTCTGCTGTAGCAGTGATGCATTTGCGATTTTGTCGCGGCTTTTCGAATCTATCAACACCACTGACCGGTCGTTGCGGATCACGTTCTATTGAATCCCTTGACACGATGGCTTCAATCGACACTGGCTATCGCGCCGTAGCATTGTTATCGAGAATAGCTCCAAGACGGTCGACAAATATAAGAAAAAAGGCGAACAATACGAAAGCGACGAAGTCTTTGGACAACTTCGTCAGCTGCCGCTTACGGAAAACTGTGAGCAGTCGTCGCCTGCGGCCGCAGCAAACTCTCGTTGGAGCTGATGTTACTGGTGTTGCTACATCTTGCCGTTGGTCTTCAGCCCTGCCAGATCGGGCGATTGGGTCGAGTCGAGTCGACTCGACGCCCTATCAGATGGGTCACTAGTGCCCATTAGACCGTTAGCGATCTGATGCAGTCCTGCGGGGCGCCGAGGATTTCCAACAACGGCCACAAAACCGTTGAGAACACAAATCTGCAATACTACTGTAATACATTCAGCGACAGCTCATACTACCGCACCGTTGGCACTTTCATGCTTCGACTCACCCCTTGTCCGTTCATTCTTGTTTTCGACATTTTATTTGCTGGCAGTAACGATGTTATCGACAGTCATATCGACGAACCTGCGCGTACGCAGGTGAAGCCTGTATACCCGTAAGACAGAGAATTGTCAATTGTAACTTCGAATGATAGGACGCGAAACAGGGTTAGGGTTTGGCTACGATGCGCCATTTTGCCATCGATGATGGCCTGGCAAAAATGCCTATGTGTACGCGCAGCCGTCCTGACTTATGAGGAGGTAACCGCGTTAGCGAGCGAAAAATACATAGCGGTGAGCAATAGAGTTTACTCTGACTGAAAACGTAATACGGAGATCAATGGACTGTTCTTCCCGTTCTATTGGTTTCCACTCAAAGCTAATAGAACGCTTAAATTGATACCGAACAAAGTAGAGACAGTTACTGAGATATTGTAAAACGTAGATTTTATTGAATTTTCAACAAGCGTCATCATTGTGTAAAGTGGTAAAATCTCACTTAGATTCGTAGAATACACTCTTTATTGGCAAGCAAGTTGATCAGAAGTTAACCGCACGGCATTTCATCGACGCTATCCATCTTTACCGCAAAAATGCCAGAAGCACGGTTCCGATAACGGTGCTTATCTAAAGCTAATAAATGTCTCGCATTCATGAAACTGATAACTGAATTCCTTATCAGCAGCTGAATTTGAGGAAGATAAGGATGAGACAATCAAGCAGCACCTAGTGACGTGTCGTTTGACCCGCTGGCATTTTATCATAATGGCAATCACCGCTCAGGGTTATGTCCAACAATTTATAGAGAAATTTTCTATACGAAACAAATGATACTCCCTGTAAACATTATGTCAACGCAATTCTATCCGAATACAAAACGCTCCGCATCGACCTGATTGCCAAATGGACAATCATCTTATATTAATTAATACGATTAATTTAATTTCCATTTCCTTCATTTATCGGTACGACTATGGATTCGTTTCCCCATTGCTAAACTAGGGCTGAGTTGGGCTTTATGTGCACGTGGTCTGCTTGCTTGAACCTTTCTGGCGCGTACCTCTCGAGGCGAATGCGGACACGCAAGGCATGAAACGTTAGCCGCTGTTTCTGTGTGCTCAGACCGGGGGTTGGGGAGAGAATAGATAAACAGGCAATCATCGGCTACGTCATGTGTCGTATTGGCCTGTTGAATTGGAACAAGAGGGCCGGTGGGAAAGCTGTGTTCCACAGCATCCGCCATTGTCTGTACCGTTGTAGAATCGTGCTATATATAAATACATGTAAAAGCTAATTGGCAGACATACTAGTAAACAGGGACAGTAATAGCAGAATCAGTTATCTGATAACACGCGTGACTACGAAGCGCTTGTCAAGTGGCAATGCTCATGCAATAGGAGATAGAGATTTCTCTTGGACCGCCACCCTTGACTAAGCGTTTTTGTGGAATTATCAAGAAGTCAGCCAGAAAACGGTTTTATATCGCCCGTACATTGCTCGGCGTAATTTGCCAAAGCAGCACTAACAGCCAATAACAACGTCGTCGATTGGGAATACTTTCGCTTAACCCGGCTCGCCTGACGTAAATTATACATTAGTACTTTTATTTTCTCACAGTCATTGACTGAGCTATCGTTGCCACAGTTAATACTGCCACAAATGGACCTATCGCTACTAAAAAGACGCGTTGCCTACCCGCCATGTCAACCAGAGTCGTAGCGATCGCGCTCGCAGAGACGAACGAGTGTTTGATAACTTCCGCCGCAACCGTTGCGACTGGCGCCATTGGACCCACGCTGCATTAACGTAACAACTACCCGATAACAACAACAACAACAACTTTCACTTCCGTCGCAATAGCAGGACCAGCAGTAACAGGCTTGATTTTCTTCTTTTGTTTCCTTGTATAATCGTCCACGGAATAACTGGCAGACGTGCCATTACAGCCGACGATTACAGCGACCGTTGATGAACATTACGACAGCGCCAGATAGCCAATTGCCAGCGCCCTCTATGATTCAATCATATCGATCGTTTTCGAATGAGACGGATGAACCCAGAAGCCGCTGAAGATGGCTATGACTGGAATGTCAATAGTATCAGCAGCACTAATGGCATCACTGGTTGTAAGATTATCCATCACTTGCTGCGCCTCAACGCCGTCCGACTGTCCCGTTGACAACAAAGACGACAACAACAACAACACTGTTAGGTATATGCCTTTCAGGTGACCGTTTGTCTTTTGAAAGCAGCTCACACGTACAAGATATAATATTACGGCCGATTGTCTCATCGTTGATTTCGAGATGAGAAGTTTTCTTTTTGCCCGCAGTGACTTATAATGATGACAGTTGTTGTTAGTATCTCACTATAACCGAATAAATTTATTGCTACCGTTGAGGTAGAGCTGGACCGAGGTGTCAACTGCGTGATGGAACGTTAATTTTAGAATATGAACAATTACAGGTAGAGACGAAGAAGAAGAACTAACGAGGCGCTAATATGGCTAGAAACAATGACGGCAAAAGGCTATAGAATCAAAATTAATACATAACGTATAGGACGACTTCTGTAGGACATAACAGAATGTTACTGCACAAGGCCTAACTAGGAATATTTCAGTACTTGTAGGTTTTTTCATAATGGCATATCCATGATATGTAAGCAAATACTGTATTGGATATAGGCTGGTTACTTTACGTGTTTAGACCTACTCACTTTAGGTTTCGAGTGTTTTCGGAACCAGAAGACTTCGAGAACGAAACGGTAAACAGCGTCAGATCATGGACTCGTCCCATTTATGTGTCGTTAACCGCACAAAGCAACGCCCTCGATTCTTCTGTAACATATGTAGTCCGCATAGGATTTCACGCATGTGTTCTATCGTCATCTGATTCCTAAGCTTTAAGCGTCTTACTAAAACAATTTCGCCGACTCCGACTTGTCCTGTGCCCTTCTGTCATTCAAACTCGTTACGTATCAAACCTAACTTTTGTAACACCACTTAGTCTATCAGCCTGTTCAAACCTTCTCTACAAGAGCAGACCTTTTCCACCAGCTGCGTGTCGAATGCACACGATTACCTGCCTATGTTCCTGTGATGAAACAGCATCTCTTTCCTCTATTCATTTTAGCTGACCGCTATTCATGCACTCACTAGCGTCACGAGTGCGGCCGCATCTACCGAAGAAACCGAACCTGTTTTTGAAGCCGTAAAGGACACAGTGCTTTACCGTGCACAGAAAAATCTCTGCGATAGAAAGGAAAAACAAAAAAAAAAGCACAGAACAAGAGAGGTTCTAGAGGATTAATGTCACCGGCACCACCGCTGTTTCACTCACATCGTCTTCCAAGCGCGTCATCTAGTCTCGTCGTCGTTCTTGTTGTCGCTTATTCTTCTGAGAGGGTGCCCCGAACAAGAAAGCCAGTGCAGCCGTTACGATAATCTACTCCATCGTACACACGAACGATTCGGTCTATCTTTCACTGGTCATATGGGTCTGTTACCCACACGGAACGCGAGACGCATGAACGGCAGGCAGAAGCAACAGCAACAAAAACGGACGCAGAATCGACCGGGTCGACCACAGATCGAGTAGAAATATTTTGAGAAAAGCCGTTGACTGACGCTTACTGATTGGCTTTCAACTGTTCTATCAGGGTCGTAGCCTTCTCTGCTGTGTCTCTTCCCTAGCTATAGCTAGAAAGCCGGCCTGCGGCCTTGTACTGTTTTTGGGGTTGCCGTTCCATAGTGATACTGGGCTCCGAGCCCTTTTTTCACTTTGTGATTTCAGAGTGCGTACCTGCAGCTGCTGTTTCATAGTTCGATTTCGCTTGGCTCACTGTCGAAATACCTATTTGGATGTGCCATGCGCGCATACGTATTTAGGCACGTTGGTGGTGAAATATCAATAACTGGAATATCAAAGCTATTCCATTAGTTGATGGAATATTGATCAAACATCGGTAGTCAGCCCTTTCTTCGTATTGGCTTCGTCGTTTCGTATAATACCGTCGATACGTGGATTTTACAAGCACAGGAAACTGGGTCAAAAAGGTCTAGGAAGCACACAAGTTTTATGTTTCCGTAATCCGCTTTGTCAATCTACGGAGAGCCCGATCAGCAGATTCCATTCAGCTGCGAAGCTCTATGAGGCAGTTATCGACAGAGAAGATCACCTTTACTTCGAAACAGCGGTGCGCGCCCACAGCATTTGGCGCGGCGGAGAAGATTTAACAAGAACAGCGACAACAACGACAACATCGACAGCGTAGGCAACAATGAAACCGGCCCAATATGTGATTTCTCTATTTTTCGATGCGTCAAAACAGCTTTTCAAGAAAAGTACTTTATATTCGACCTTACGACGAAGAGCTTTTAGATGTGATAGAAGCACTTTGAATCTAGCTTAAGTTATGATATGTATTACACTGTGCGAAGTAATAATAATCATAGTAATACTGCGTGAGTTGTTGATCCAAGCGTAATCTCTGATTCGCCTAAGTGAGATCTTCACAGAGGACTGAAACAGTAGCATTCCTATACTGCGATACGATCCCTTCGTTGCACGAATATACATGGGAGTGGCGTATATGATCTGATTCCTGAAAAGCGGTAATTTTAACAGCCCACCAGCCACTGATGATTTTTAATCAAAAATCGCTTAAAGCCCCAGAATTCCAACTAAAGAGAACCCGTCGTTGTTAAGGAGAAGAAACGTTAAGAAGTCGCTATCGAGGCACTATACGTAATTGCCTCACTCATTGTTACTGCACAGCGAATCGTCCTTTACGTGTCGCGTTATTATAGAACATCATTAAGTTAGCCGCAACTGCTTTATCCGCAGACCCAACTTTTTTTGCTGCGAATTCACCTTCTCAACGTTTCTATTGCCGTGAATCGAAATCCGGCAATCCAGTTCACAGCCTGTCATTGTAAGTGTAATACATCGTCTCTTGCGTCACCTACGACCCCTCATTTTTCCCAGATTTAAATCTGCGTTATGAGACAGTAGCTGCGGCAGCAGGTGCTTATTGAAAGACTACTTCCTCGTCTTCTTTATGCCCTTTACCTTGTTCATTATAGCACATTTGAGCGGCGTATCTATCTAGTGCTGCTTTTCTTCTTAATGTTTATTTATAAGGGATTCCACGAGCTAACGTCCGTTTTCTCTCTATTTCGTTCATGAGCTGAATCAAATGGCCTTTTTTCAGGCTATCTTCAAGCGGACATTGTTAACCGGCTAACACGAACGCTACATAGCTACACCTAGCAAGGACTTTGAAGCGTCGCAAAGCGTCACGTGGCCTCGTCTGTCGGGACAATGTGGCCAACAAACTTCGTTAGATGCCCGGCACACAAAACGCTGTCCACCATCGTTCGACAAAAAAAAACCCAAAAAGCTAGACGCGATGCTTTTCCAAAAACGGAGACGTAGGTGGCGGTGGACTACAAGAAGGCAAATAGACTACTTGCCAAATGACACGAGTATCTTGCGGAACTCACTCGAGACAAATCAGCATATTTGGCTGTCGTGGCGTCGGCGACTCCAGCACTATTTGGTCACGTGGTCACTTCGGGCCGCAAAAAAGGTAAATACTTCATCCATCGTCGTAGTTTTTCATGCCAATTTCGCTGGGCTTTTCAACAATCATTCAAAGAATTTGATTGATTTGTCTCGACACGCATAAAATAGAACACATTTAGCCCATTGATCAGCCTGTCGAAAGGGATGCTAATTTGTAATAGTAGAAGTGGTACCCGTAATGCCTTCGTAAATCCGACGTTGATGCTTGAACCTTTCCATCCTGTTTCCCTCGCTGAAAGCGGTTGAATTGTTACTTCGAGTAACTACTGTTTGTGTGAGACCCCGACGGCGGTTGCCGCAAAGCAACTAAAACAGCCCGATTTGAGCCGTCTCTTGTATCTAAATATCTTATCTACTTGACAGTATCAAGATGGAACGCGACCTCCTGCAGGCCCATATGGGGACCCAGGATTACGCTCTGAATATGTCCAGAGCTGTTGCATCAGCCTCACACATATCGCAGTGTTGTCAGTCAACTAAGATCCGGATTTACCGCAATAAACTTGTTTACTGCAGTTGTGCCTAACAAGCCCACGCCGCACGGCGGGACAAACTACTCGCAACAGCAGCTGTTAACAATTTGGCGACATTGCCAACGAGGTCATTTAGGATCTTTATTAATATGTCCTTTCCCAAAAGGTTAAATCTAGAAGGTCAACACGTAATTGAGTTGGTAAAGACTCTGTGACAAAAAAGGCCAATAAACTCTTCGATTTGACAGCTTGTTGTTGCAGTCCTACAGGGATATTAAGACAGGGTAGACATGCCCAACGAGATCCCTACGAAAACACAGTTTAACCACAGGCGTGTGGAATGTCGTTCAAGTGCCCAGAAGCTGTTTGAAGGTGGACGTTAGTCGGGAGGTTAATGTTGCAAGAGCTGCATTGCCCTTTGCACATGTGTTTCACTTAGGAATAGGGAAAAAATCTGATCTCCTTCTTGAATAGCTTGTAGATTTCTTTATGTCGGTGTAATATGACGGATCGTGGCATGAGCAGTGTACCCGCTCGTCTTATGCTACCTAGATCTCTGCTACTATTCGAAACATGGGCTGTCATAGGCGTAGAGCTAGACACGCAACTCTCATACCCTAATTCAGCTAAAATAGTAGGAAACAGCACAGCTGACAGCAAAAGTAAAACGTAAATCTCTCTATAAATTGTTGAACATGTTTAAGTACGATTAGGGAGCCAATTCAGTAGTTCCTACATAGTGCGTTTTTCTTGTTTTTTGGAATTTCTGTTGTACATTATTTGTAGTGTTTCCAATCACGATCGTGTACCATGCTGACTCGAACGGCAGGGCATCCAGAAGAGTACCAGGATGGCTCACAAACTCCACCGACATACATGCTAACAAAACCCGCTAGCTAAATGACACTGGCAATAAATAAAACGAATTATCCAGCCCATCGTGACTTAGGGAACCTATCACTTCTTCTGGCTGTTTTGACGCCAGCGAAATTGCTTGTTTGCTTACTGGATAAACAATGTACAGAACCTTATTGTATTATATGGATAAAATATAAACATGCGGGGCCTAAGAGCTTATCGCTAACTGATTGTCTGCAATTAACTAGCTTTCTGGTAATTTAGCTCGCTTGCATATATTTGCCTATTGTAAGTTGTCGTTTGTTTGTCATTGTAACTTCCATGCGGCGCCAAATTGCTGAGCGGACACGTAACCGACCCCAAACCGCCAATGGAGCGAAACAGAATTACAAAAATAGCCTCATATTGTTACTAGATAAAGGACCAGGTCTTATCTCTGGGCATATATACACCTGATATTTAGGGTCAATCTACTTCAGCTCTAGCTGTCCGAATTAGTGTCGTAACCACGACCGAGGCCTTCTAAGGTGGTATGACCACAGTTCACAAGTAGTATGTCTCGCAGTCTTCAGTGCCGTCCCTTACTCTCTATCCGTAAGTTAACAGTACTATCATTCCATGAAGTTGAGTATGACGCTATATTGCTCGACTGGTAGCATTTAGTTTACGGGGTCTTTTCAGAATCCTTCGTAGTCGTTGTTAACGCGTTCCACGAAGCCCCTTCGATCATTATTTGTCGCTGGCTTATACGAGAACGTGATAGCTGTGACGACTGGACTGCCGGAATATCGACGAGTTCGACAAATCGACCTCGGCCAAGAGGTATGAGACGCGCGTTAAGTTGTTATAGGTGCGCGTTAACAGAAGGTATGATAGCAAGGTAAAAAAACGTCACCAGAGAGGCGTTACGTCATCGTATATAGCCATTTTATAGGTAAAATTGAGGATGATATCATCGATAACGATACTCGATGCGCTTGCTTGTTTTTGTAATGTAAAGTGAAATAATGGCGCTAATATTGCAATTGTAAACAATTCGATATAGAGAGATAAGGGTTAAATATATGTAAATTAACTAACAATGTCTCTCGTTCAATCAATTTTAGCTGATAGAAACTAATCCGTACCCCATTAACCGTTAGTAAACAACTGATAACAGCTCTGCCTGCGATAACTAAAGATCCGAGCCCCCGCACCGGGGTAAGGAGATCGTTTTCAGGTAGCAAACGAAACTGGTTAACTATCGCAACTGGCGTTAGTATATACTGAGATTGAATTCACAAGTAATAAGGTCAATTTGGAGCAGAGAATTCAGGGAACCACTCTTCCTATGTCGGTATCACTCTTTGCGGATAGCGACGGCCAATTGATGCTCAGGATTGATTAACCATTTTTTTTTATGAATTAGGCTTTTGGTATATAAGCAATATACAAGGTAATCGTTCATCAGTCACATTTTGTTAGTTTGAACGCGCGCTTAAAACGCTAGTGTTTTTGCCTATCTCCATGATTCGAAACCACCAGGTTTCTCAACGAACGTTCGAATTCTGACAACGAGTCTCAGAAATTCAATCAGATCTCATCGATTTTACACGCAGAATGCTCACGTAGATAGATGGTATAGCGCTAAATCAACCTTCCTTTTCAACGCACACACACAGGTATAATCGCCTTTTGACGTCCTCTTGAAAGCGTTTTTTTTCTTTGTTTTTACAAGGTGTCTGTAAATACAAATAGACTGCCGTTGGGACGTGGCACCGGACAAGAGCAGGTTGGTCCGATCTGTCAGGCCGGATAGTTTTTTTTCGATCTTTCCACGTTTTTTGCCTTCCTAGATTCAGCTCCTTCTAGTAGCCGTTGAACGGCTCTGTGTCTGTTCAACGGCGCAACCGTTAGGAGATCCCACGGGCATCTCAGGATGCGTAGCCCCGCTCGGTTCGACTCATAAACAAACGCCAGCCTCTTAGAAGAAGGGGGTTAGTTGGTTGACGTTCACTGTTTCGAGGTTCGCCGTACTACAAACCATATTAAGTAGCAGTTCTATTATCAACTCGATGTGGTGCTACGATGAAACACGACAACCATGTCCGCTGTCATTCCCTCTTCGAGAATAAAAAGTAAACTAACGTCTACGTCAGCACAAGCGTCGTAACCGACAGACTATATTTACGTATAAGCATAAATGACATACGGGACTAATCTGTTTCACTGTAATAAGACTGTTTAAGCGTCAACATATAATTGATGTATTGAAGTGTTCAACAAGCGAACCCAATCGTCATTGACTTCTACAAAGTAGTAAAACGTATGGGCTTTTTAGCGATTTTGAAGTTAATAAAAGGACTAGTTCTACTCCGAATCATGCCTTGATGTATCGATAACAAAACGTGTGCCGGCAGGCGAATTCGTCCAGTACGCTTACCATCGATCGAATGATATTAAGATACTGATGTGTGGTTGGCGAGCAACATTAACGAAAACAGGTCGACGTTACGTTAGCATTGAACTCGAGCACCAGCTAGCAGGAGGTAAGTCGCCGATAGCACGCCCGCTTACCGGCTGGGCCTCATCTCAGGTTGAGTTCATTCAGTATTTGATCCGGTAGTACACACATCGTTGTCGATCACACAAGACAGCAGGGCCATGTAATCCGTGGGAACTGAGATAGGCGTCGGTAGAGAGGTGGTGAACAAAGTGCAAAGCTACAAACCAAAATAAACAGCAGATGCAGGTGTAGGATACTAGCTTTGCACGAAACAGCTCCGGTTAGGTCCAACATTGAAGTGGCAATGAGGCGCAGGACAAACAGGCAAAATGGTTCACCCGATGAATCCGCTGATGGAACTGCGTCTACACGCCTGGTTGATCAGTATCAACTTTCACCGCTTTGTCCGTTTGAAAACACCGTTAAAGGATACACTGTCTTGACCTCTATTCACCAGCATTTCAACTGCCACAAAAATAGCAACACAGGTAAACGATAATTTCTTTCTTAGAATACGATGCACACTTTCTCTATCAGCTTCAGAGGATCACAGTTACCTACAAGCAGGACTGAGGTGTGAAGACGCTTAACAGAACAACAAAGCAATACACAGGATGCCGCTTTTTTTTCCTGAATTTTTCACGTCTACCTTAGCAGAAGCGCGGATAATGGCGCATCATATAGTAGGTATATAATATGAACATCAATAACGCTGACTGGATTCGTGCAACTCCATCTTGGTGATCGTGGCTTAGAACCAATAACGCCGATTGCACACGATTAGTTCCACCATGGACGTCTGACTCAGAGCAGTCTGTCCGGATAGTCGCTATTTACCTCTACTATGCAAGTGTGCACTATACACGAATTGATGGAGGCAATAATAATTAGTATACGGAGCCGGCCTCCGTTTCATGCAGATGAACCGAAGGATGGAAGAAAACCCGAGCAACAATGGTTGAGTCTATTACAATGAAGTCGTGAAGCTAGTTTTACTGCGATTAGCAATGTTGGCGTTGGTGCTTGAACCCCCTTGGCGCGGTAATAGTATCGGGGCTGTTTTCATCGTCAACGCTACATCGTTTCACAGCTATCGCAGTTGCACGGACGTTGTTGTCGCTGCCGAAGGTAGTCCTCAGAGTAGTTTTAATGGGGCTTTTGCCGTCGTAGCGAAGCTTGTGTTGGTCGTACTGACCCAAGTGGTGCACATCAGACGCATCTGTTTCCTGTCCACGGTCGTCGTATCATGGCCGTACCGTTTAGCGGTGGTCCTTCGGCGTAAGCAGGAGCGACCGCGTTGTCAACGCACAAGCAACAGAAGCATGCAGAAGCACAGGGCCCAACGGCGGCTGTGGTGACTGCCTGTACTGCAAGAGAAGATTCTGACGAAAACAATGATGTCAACAGCAATAACAATAACTAAACGAAGATGAAACACTAAGTTAACAGAAATTTAATGACGGCACTTGATCGACGGAGATGAGCGACAACAGAGCACGACGAAGAACACGGACGGTGCTGCAGGCTCAGGCACAATGTACACACCAGCACACATGGTACACAGCACACAAATAACTGAAATCATAACGGGCACCGGAACACTATAGGAGCCGGCAGACAAACGATCACGACAAATACGACCCTAGCAACTGCTGTTCGCTGTCGTTATACTACATTTCCGAGTCAGGACACTTGGCCCCTCCCCTCAGCTAACTTATTTATGACTTGCTTTCCGATTAAGCACTACTCGAGGCTCCTGCAAGTGTCTCATGTATTCACTGCTAAAGCGAACGTTGTGGGGACCTGATGAAGCGGAAGCCTGAGCGCAGCTAACTAGACAACCTGCAGCATCACCATGGCTGGCTGGCTAACTAGCAGCCACTAACTCCTAATCGTGTTCAGCATCATCCGTGTGCGGGAGCAGAAAAAGATGAAAAAGAGAAGCTCAAAACAGCGACCCCATGCAACCCGGTGCCTATATTGCTGCTGCCGCAGTGGTACAGCTAGTGGACGTTAATGGCAGCATAGAATCGTTGCTAGCGCCATCTGTCGGTCAGCACACGAAACCCTGAAGTCGTACGTAGCGAAACTCTGTGCACATGATGCCCTCTCTCCTAGTCAGTATGAGCCAGACAAAGAGAAGAACAGCGGCGGCAGCTGCTGAGGCGGCACTTCTAGGAGAAAGAGAGGAACCAGTTTTTGCCAGCAGGACAAACCAGCGATCAAACGTGCGTACTTTCTTTTTTTGTCTCCCTGGCTGTGTCAGCAGCCAGTGGGCAACGATAGCAACGCGGCTAGGGTTCCTTCCGTGACGGACTCACCTTCTCCATACCGACTACCGATTCTCCGATTCTGGCAAGCGGCTCGTTAGCGGAATACTCTCACACTCCTAAACAAAAACAGCAACGCAGCACGCTTGAACATGCATGTAGTATATAGCCAACGCCATTGCGAGCGTTGGCTGCAGATCGAAATGTCAAAGATGAAGGCGATGTCTGCCTATTTGCACCACCACGACGACAACCTATTGCCCGTCATCGACCACCACAGCAGCGGCGGCACCTACAAAAGGGTGAGGGAAGCTCAAACTAAGACTGTTTTGACGAAGAGAGTATACGAGCTACTACTGACGCTCGTATGCATTAATTTACGGTACGCACTCGCTTCTGTCATGGAATCAGGACAAAACAGCAATAGCCGTCGTTGCAGAAGCACCAGCAACAGCAGCACGCAACAACAAACTATAAATGGCTCAGGAGCCGGACATGTGTATAAACAAGGGATATGTATGAAAACATTTGGCGAGATGCACATTCCACCAGATCGAGCCACTGAACTGTTGTTACTAACATGGTAAATGGGAAATGGTGCCATCTAGCTAACACCAATCTATTACACCTGAACAAGCAGTATGAAAGAAAGAGGACGTAGAGAAAGATAAAATCCGAAAGCTTGGGTAAGACGGTACAATGTACAGAGGCCGCATGAGGCAGCGGGTATGACGATGGCCATGATAGTCAACGAGAGCGAGACTTGTGAGCATGCGCTGGCTATTGAAGTAGGTGTCATGCTAAGACATACGGTGTGTATGTATCGTGCGTTTTGAATATTAGGAGTTCTCAAATCGATCTTCCGCCCAGGCTGCACAGAAGCATGAACATTTGTAGAGACAGTTATGGGTTAAATAAACTGTTGAGATTACGTAATTCCTATTAATTAATTTGGTAGTTTATTAGTTACACGATAGAATTATTCTACATAACGGAGTACACACTATTTTGCTGTGTCGTTGTTACAAAAAAGTTATAATGCTTTATAAATGTCTTTAATTTTTACTCTTAATAATGATAAAATGAGATCTCTATTTTACGCAGTTTTGAAAAGTGAATGAAGTGAAGTTCTTGTTATGCACATCCAGGCTCAGCCGGTCTAGTTAGATTATAGGACATAGGACAACGAACTTATAATTAGTAAGTCCATATAATTAGTAAGTTCATTAAGTCTCAGAACGTATACATCGGATCATGAATTAGAAAACGTAACCCTGACTACGCGTGCTTCCGAAAACGAGAGCCATAACGACAGCTTCATCGCGAATGCGCAAAATGTTCGACCAGTCGTGTCCTCTTCAAGCGAACCCTGTTTATGCTTGTTCTAATATTCAATGGACATCTACTTCCGCGCAGAAAAAAAGATACGCGGCAGGCACACTTGTTGGACTGGCGAATAGTCAAAATCATATAGAAAAACAAAACGAGCTTTAATAATAATAATAACTCAATGCTCGAAGAAAATGCAACGATTTGCCAGTTCTCGATTTTTGTGACAGAATATAAACATTTATACACATAGTGTGTGAACAGGAGCAGCGTTATTCCGACCGGGAAAAACATAGTTGAAAAACGGGAAAAACACATTGTTCCGTCCGAGACAGGTTAGTGTAAATTAATGATCTCCTATAATTAATTATAAAAGACACGTGACCTAGCACTAATTGGTCTGCATATCGGTATCGATTAAGATTTTTGTGAGAGAAATGTTGTATACTGTTTTGAATAATTGTAGGGTTGCTGTTCGATTCTTTCACCCCATACATTTGTCGTGATACTGTCGCCTCGTTCGTCGAAGCTGAACTGTCCGTTCTGCTACAACTTTTTTTGCCTACCCGATCGGCCCCTTGGTATGTCCCGCTCTCGTCAGCGGTCCAAAAACCAACTGGGGCGCCCCCTAGGTTATAGCGTCCCACAGTCGACGTCGACGGATCCAATGAAACCGCGCAAAATTTGATTACGAAAATCACCCGTATCGGGTAGACATTCGCTTATGAGAATTAGCAGACTCTATAAAATCGGGCCAATTATGTCCCGAACTGGACCAGGGCGGCTGGACACTCGGCAGAATTAAACCTTTAAATAAACAGACAGTAAACAGTGTAGACGTATAGGTCAGTTAGAACGTTTCGAATAGTCTCTAAACATTTATAGGAACTTATATCATCACAAGACCAATGGAATACCATTAATAGCAATAGGTAGCATCGTCATTTTTTCTTGAACAACACAAATTGAAACAATTTTTCAAAGTTTATTTATTATTATTGACAAAAAATACTACAAAAACAAATAGCAAATTTAATTTAATGATTAAACTGTTTAAAAAATCACTCTATCACTATATGATATTATGTACGTTTGATAGAAAGCATATAGCATTTTGGAGCATGTATGTTTTAACTCGAGGTCAAAAACCGAAATCTTTTCCCTTTCGTCATTGTTTTACCATTCGAAAGATATAATTAGCACGTGAAACACAAATTAAATCACACTGCCGGATCGACACGTGGGGCTTACGCAGGTCCTTTGTATTCGTCGTCTATTAAGCGTTTGGCGGTTAGAGAACAAACCCCAGCCCGTAACAGAGCGATAGGACAACAAACGTAACATGCCTGTAACAATACTCAACAACTATATAGCGTCAGTACTGAAGACGCAATGGACGCCTGTAATGACCGTGGGGTTCGGCCGGGAAGCGAGATAACGGCTTAGCTAACTGAGCTAGGTACGCCGAGTAATCTCACTTCGGCCGAGGCAGCCTGACACGTCGGCGATCGCTGCCTTCAAGGACCGCCAGGAAAACAGGATAATAATCTGTAGTGTTAGATACAGCAAACGTACAGGTGTTCCTGTGTTAGCTAGTATTGCTAACTAAAGTTACAAAATTATGGGAAATCAGCCTCTTTCTAAGTGTTAGCTTTATCAAACGATTGTCAACTCTATGCTCTGAGTTCTTCGTGCTTTTACCGCTACAGGACACACATGCATACCTCGTTTTTTTTTTTTAGTAATTCGTTTTTTTTTTTAGTAATCGATAGGTAGGTTCGCTAGCATGATTAGAGAAAGTCTAATGAATAACTCGTATCGTTAGTGCGATAGATGTGCCACAGTATGTAGATCGTACAAAAAAGTACATCTGAAATAGCTCGTTTAACATGATAAATGAGCTATTTTAGATGTACCTGGGGAAAAGGAAAGCAAGTTATAGAAGATTTTTGTCATTCAAATGGTTTCGTCTTCAATTACGTATGATGTCTGTACGTTTCACTTGTGATACTTAGTAGCTATTCTGGAGCAAGCGCGTGCATATGCGATGATACGCAACGAATAGGATATACGTTACGACGATTACGGTCTCATCTCAGTTCTCCTTTGCTCCATTCGAGCTTCGAATTTTTCGAAGTCGGCTGTTGTTCTCTTGATGATCTTTTTTTCGGCCACATGTTTCGCTGTCCCAGCCATTCTAGTCCTAGCGACCTTGACGACACTTACCACAGGGCTGGTTAGTAGTTTCACATGAGGGTGTAAAATATTTACACTATGTTTCGCTGCTTGACAACCAAACAAACGCATACAATTGGAAGCTGCGGCCTGTATTTTGTAATTCTCCCCTATTATGTTGTTTTATAAAGCAATGGTCGGGTATTTGCTGCGCCGAGCCCGTATCCTCCCCTCAAGGTATGGGCTATCAAATATGGCAACTTACGGGACGGCCCTATAAGAGAGATAATTTCTAGAGCAAAGAAAGGCAATGGAAACGGGTGCATTTCTATCTGTGCGCGAAACGATTAACGCTAACTATTTAAGAAGCGAAACGAGTTTTTGCACCTCAAGCAAGGTTTCACCGTAAAAGAACGACGTTGCCTTCTTCAAAACTATCGTTACGTGGTCACCCAATGAAGCAGTTGTAGTCGATTTCCTCCGATCATATCATCGTATCCATGGCTATGGCCATATAAAATGCCAAATGAGGTTATTTAAACTACATGTCGAAAAACTGATACTTTCCGAATACATCCACAGGGATAAGTAAACTTTTGGCTTGGGGAGAAATTAATTTATGGTTTGATCAAAATAGATTCTTAGTTAGGACAGATACTGCTATAACTATAAGCTGTGAACCTCCTTATTGTCCTTGTGTGTCCTACTGGCGATTTTCGCGTTAATTATCTATTAACATTAAGTAATTGTTACTAGCTTTCTCTGATGCTTATTCGTCTATTTAATTTTGTCTAGTATGCAAGCCATGATCTTACACAGCGGGTAACGGAGTAATAATTGTTGCATGTAAGTGAACTCCGTGTCTCTGACATGTCTATATAAACGACCAAGATAAATAAAAAAAAAAAAAAACCATTTACAAGTTTGACATGAGCTCCACACGTTCAATAGCAGAATTAATAGAAATATTCTATTTATTCTTTATTGCAAAAACCACCGATACAATTAACTAGTAGGCTGTATGTTCTATTTATTTCTACGAATTCATTTCACTATCAGATATGGGGCCTTTTTGAATTAGTAGGAAACAATCGGTTCTAATATCAAGTCTAGTATTTGAGTTAACCTGAAATTTTACAGATTTGCGTCACGTATTGCAACACACTATTGCGTCAATAAAACGGTCAAACGGACGTTGCCAGCGCTATATAGAAATGAAACATCCTCTATTGATTCGTTTTCTAGATGAACCTAATCCGAACCCGGCTCACCCTATCGCGTAAATGATGAAGAGCGTAAATGATACCTCTGTTCTGAATGACTCTACATTGGGACGCAGCCGTAATGTTCTGCGAAGCAATGTAACTGTTCTGACAGCGGACATGAGCCTACTAGCTAAGTCAAACACTACGCTTTAAACCCGCCAGTGATTTATTATATTTCGAAGTCATTCCCCGTATGTTCATTATATTCCGTCAAAAAATCTAAGATCGTGTTGACTGTGCGCGTACTTCACACCCAGCAACCCTCAACAGGGGGCCCACGGTAGGATACTGGCGACTTCGTCCGATACGACAATACACAACCAGTCGGCGTAGTCGCACTTTGGGGCGTACATGAATTTCGATTGCTTCTACGAAACCGCTTTGTTCACAACAAACGAAGCGCCTCACTTGAGGGGTAATCAGAAAAGAGAAAAAGCACACGTCTGAGCTTGTTAGATGCATCGCCGTAATCGTCGCCACGTTACAATGTAACCATAATAGATGTATGCAATCACGTAATGCATTTTGAGTTTAAGTTTTTTTTGGGGGAAGAACGTTCTCTTAAGATAACTTCGTTACTATTTAGTCGAATCAGATCGTTCCAACACGGCGCTTCATTAATAAGTATGCGTATAAAAGGACATCAAAAGATGTCGTACTTGTTTACTAAGCACGGAAAACGGCAAGATAAGTAAATGATACTTATCTTTTCCACAATTCGCCCCGAGGTGTGAATACTGGTATCAATGAATCCCTAAGTTCCAATAAGAGAATATCAGAGCTGAAACCAAGGACGTAAGTGCACTGAAACAGATAATGCAAGTAAGATATTAGAGGTTTGCTCATTCATATAGGTTGTCTAGCATGTTTTGTAGGCGCAACTTGAAGAAGCGATCCGTTGATCTCTTTCAACCAGAGGCAAATGTCATATGGCTTTAGCGAACTAGGTCTCTTCTGGTTTAAATTCTAATGTTTTGTATTTCATTATAATGTCGTTAAATGTTTTGGGCGGTAGGTCTATATAAAGAGTAAAAATCACTCACTGCGGTGGTTACGAAAACAACCGTTGCTATGAAAAAAAGAGTTCGATCAGTGCATCATCCTTCTAGACGCGAAACAAAAAAGTACGCAAGAAGAAATAATGAAAGGAACGCGATATTCTTGTTGGGCCTGCTTACAGGACAATGTTCGAGTATATTGAAAGACTGTATAGTTGTCCAAGTGGGCCCCACTCGTTTAAGGACTCACTTCGAAATATCGTTAAATTCGAACCTCAGCGCAGACAATCAAGCTTATAAAATGTGCTGACCTTTATCGTCAACTTTTTCATTGGCGGAACAAACGCTTGTTGTTGATTTGTTCCATAGAGCGTCGACATAATGCGATACCACACTTCCGTACCTATTTTGGCCCACATCATTGCTTCAAGTTCCGATACAAATAGCCGCTAGCTTTAATATTGTTACTGTATTATTAAGACATTAGGCTAGATACAGCTAATAAGCCATTAGACGAGAAGGCATACCACGTTAAATGGCCTATCAGGTACTACCGTAGGGAATTGCTACTTATGGGAAAGGGGTTTTTAGTTTGGCGCCTTCAGGCTTTAGAGGTTTCTTAAATCCATTGCTCTATACGCCGTAACTGATTTACAGTACGATATTTTTGATATCTTTCTTTTGTTCGTTTTGTAAGTATTCTCGAGCTCTTATATGGGACGAAAATACCGATTAAAAAAAAAAAACGACATTTTACGAATCTCTAATAATTTCATAACTACGTTTTGCATAGGGTTCTAACAATACATTCGAGCGTAGTCATTTTTCTCCGGGCCCAGAAGAAAACTGAAGGCTTACTTAGAAAGGCTCTATACAAATAAAGCTGCTTTGATGTGGGTTTTGCATCCACTCACAAAATCTCAAGAGATCTACCAATCATATTTATAGAAAGGGGAAAAATTTGTCGGTAGTTCGGCTGAATACCCGCCTTAAGCGCTCTAAGAAAATATTTCGAAACACCTATATCGTAGGGACGGA